TCCAGTTGACGAGACAATCAACATAATTAATGACTGTGTCTAAAAATAGCAGACAATACCTCCCCGCAAAATCCGACCCGTCATCCTTCAAAAACTACTACTCGCTTGTACCACAAAAACTCCATTCTATGACCATAATGATAACATATATACCCAATCTAACGGTGTTAGCATGGGAAACCCTTTAGGTCCTGCTTTCGCTGACTTTTACATGTCGTACATTGAAAACAATGTATTTAAACAACCGATAAATCTACACAAGGTACGTGGACAACATTTTCGTTTTGATAAAAAATAAAGATGAAATCGCAAACCTAAAATCAGCTTTTGAAAAAAACTCAACACTGAAATTCACATATGAACCCAGGCCAGGGTACATTAAAAGATCCTATTCCTCGACGTTGAGATAGAGTTAAGATCCAACGAATTTGCCACTTACCCGTATAAAAAAAAAAAAACTAAAAAAAAAAACACTAGAACGAACTCTTGTCTTCTAAACTATGATAGTCAATACCCGGAAAGATATGTCTGATAACAGACATCGTAAGTAGAACATGTCAAAATTCCTCTTCCCCAAAAATATTTCTAAGTGAACTGAAACACATAAAACAAACAGTAGTCAACGCTAATTTTCACAATTACATCATTGTAAGCAAATAAAATTATTCTTACAAAAAATACACGAAACCAATTATAAAAATACAACACCACAAAATATCAACATATTTTATAGCAACCAGATGCACAATAATTATAAGCAGGATGAATTTGTTATATGGAAAATCATTAATAAACACTATATTTCTGCTGTAACCTCCGAAAAACATGTAAAGTGAATAATACATTATAGAAAATGGAAGACCAAAAACCTTGTCGTCGCCAACCGAAATAACACCAGCCAATCTAAACTAGCAGTAACCAATATAATGTATCAATTTCAATGCCCAGGACAAGACTATGTTACTTGTCAAAAATCAATTACCTATATCGGACACACTACTACCTCCTTAAGTAGACGCTTTACATATCAGCTCTCGAAGCAGAATGTGATTAATAAACATTTATTAACTCATAATTTACAAGAACCTTTAAGGAAAAATTTTTGTCGATAACAAAAATTCTTTTCAAATCACATAGTCGTAGACAACTTATCATTAGAGAAGCATTACTGATTAAATATCGTTCCCCTGCTATCAATCTTACACTGTTTAGCAATGGAGACGGCGTATTAAATGTTTTCTAAATATTTTTAGAAGTGATGCCCAAGTCAACCGGTCGAGCATAGCACGTGACAGCCGAAAAAAACGTAAAACGCTCGGATAAAAAGAACATGAGGACAGATTTCATATAATTTATCATCCGAAAAGAAAAACATTATTAGATCGCATGAGAAATTGTATAAAAAAAAACTAAATAAAAGCACCCTGTCTGTCGTTTTCAATGAAATGATCATATATATATATATATATATATATATATATATATATATATATATATATATATATATATATATTAATGTGTGTATAAAAAACTGGTTTCCACCATAAAATAAAATGTTTCTAACGCAAACCTCTACTGATCTCCTGTAATCCATTCACACACACACACATATATATATATATATATATATATATATATATATATATATATATATATATTCGTTTCGCTGTAACACAACTCGTCAGTGTGGCTAGACATACGATTGCTTCAAACTGGGATTGAAACCGGAGACTCTTACCCCTGCGCTATTAGCGCATGCTTGGAAGAAAGGGAATTTTTAACACATTATATACAAGATATATGCATTACCGACTACCACAGGGCTCAATTCATACCTAAGAGCATAGCATTAATCAACGGCAACAACTAACAAATTACCTTTCTTCGAAAAGTGGTCAACTCATGAAAGGAAGCGTGTATATATATATATATATATATATATATATATATATATATTTCCCTTCTTGTTATACCATAATACCTATTCTATTGTAATAGACTCTCCCACAGATAATAAATAGTAGTAGCAGTCGCCAGTTGGGCTCAGTGGTGTTGAGTGATATTTAGCTACCCCCACGAGGGTGAGTCAGTCGATGTCGGACATTGAAGTATCAACCATCACAACTAGATTGCTGCGTTATTAACTCTTATTTCAAGTTCCTAACGTTTTGAACGTCGAACCTAATTTAGGACGACTTAGTGAAATATAAGCCTCCACTGTGAAAACTACTCTACAACACTTCTCCATTGATATATATATATATATATTTTTCCCTTCTTCATTGATATATATATATATATATATATATATATATATATATATATATATATCAATGGAGAAAGGAAATAGTGGTTTACATATTGTTTATGTTTTCAAGATAATAATTATTATTGTGAAGTTGAGTATCCGTCCATTGTAGCTATTATTTTTTGGAATGCATCCATATTGAAAGCCAGATTTTGAACACTTCAACGTGGTGTAACGGTTAACAAGTTTGTCTCGTTCAATCAGTTATGACTTAGTAGTGAGTTCGATCATCACTGGTTGCTCAAAACTTTCGCCCTTGTGCCACATTTAAGCTACGTTTAGAAAATCATTGGGGCACTTTGACGTGGTGTAATGTTAGCAAGCTTTGTCTTGCTAGATTAATTACGACTGAGTAGTGAGTTCAATCCTTACTGGATGCACCACACTTTTGGCCTTATGCCACAACTAAGAAAATCACCATATTGAAAGCCAGACTTGACGCATAAAATATGTACTGGTGTCAGACAAAAAGAAAAACGTTAATAAAGTTAGAACAGGAGGAGAGGAGATTTGAGAAAGAAATTAAATATTGACTTTAGCAATTCTATCGCGTCTAAAAACCGTTACAAATTTTTCAATTTTTATTTTCGATTTCAAAGCCAAATCCAGGTTAACAGTTAAAAGTTTATGAAGAAAATTACTTTTCTGTAAAAGATAAAATAAATAACAGAAGATTATCATAATGTTGATGATTATATGAGTTATTTTCATGGTTTGTGATACCAAGAGAAAAAGTAATGTCATGAGACTTGTAGGATTGTTTGTAGGTTTTGTTTTCAGTTCCTTCTGAAGCAGCCATGGGCAAAGTGCGGCCAGCGGGCAACATGTGGCCTATTTCGCCTTCTGAATGGAATGCCGAATTTCATTTTGTTTGTTTCGTTTCCTCCTCACTTGTTCACTCACATTTTCTCATGCATAAACAATGATTAAGCACAACGTTTCTTGTAACTTTTCGTTGAAGTTAACGTTCTCATCATTTTAAACGATTGGTGATTTTCACTAAAGAAGACCATCCGTGTAAATATCATTTGCTTTAGAACATAATAATTTTTTTTTTTTTTTTTTGCCTGGAGAAGAAATATATTTTTTCGAGAAGAAACATAATTTTCTCGAGAGAAGAAATATATTTTTTAATTTAAAAATTATTTTTGTATTTTCAAATGAATAAACAATTAACAAATCACATGCAACAGTGTGTGTTAACCACTGTCATATGTGATACTGGGACTTCATTTTTTTTTTTTAATTATTGAGAAATCTTTTCTCCAAAAATAATCAATCTTCCTTTCACCATTCCTATGGCAAATGCTCACGCGCATGTTCTTCTGTGATGAAAATGTCTGAGACAGCTTTAACGAAAAATTACCTTGTGTCTTTTTAGTAGGTGTGGCCCGACTTATGATGAGCCATATCTGATGCGGCCCACTGGTCGGAAAAGGTTGCCCATGGCTGTTCTAAAGGTTACTTCTAGCGCCTCCGTCTAGCATCTCCACCTAAACTCTGAAATTTTATTTTCTATTTATTTATTTTTCCTCAATAGGAGTAAATAGGTTGGCTTATCATCTTGTTCACACTCTTACCTGGTCTTTTTTGTTTCCTGTTTATGGTTAGATTTCTGGTTCCTTCTAAAGTCTTTTCGTTCACTCCCCAGTATCACTTTGCTTCTTAGTGGCTTTATCACCTTGCTTGGGGTGAATTGTTATATATATATATATATATATATATATATATATATATATATATATATATATATATATTGAGACATTTTTTTTTATGTTTAACATTCTGTCTTAAAATAATTGTCGGACTTTGTCCATTTCATAATATATATATATATATATATATATATATATATATATATATATATAGTAGGATATTAAAACATGTCAAAAATCGCTACATAATGGCAATTACGCTTCAACACTACAAATGTGTCTCTTCGAGCAATGTTAAACTACTGGCGATGTTAAACTACTAACATCGCTTGAGGAGACACATCTGAAATATAATTTCCATTATGTAGCGATTTTTAACATGTTTTAATATCCTAAACTAAATAATATTTAGCCCTTCTCTGTATTAAATGTTACATACAGTGAAATTATACTACATTTGTTCTCATTATACCCATATATATATATATATATATACTTTATAGCTGCATGGGTGAGTGTTTATAATGTTATCACTTTCCTACCACTAGACTCCAGGTTGAATGGCAACATTCTAAGAAGGAAGGTAACTTGATGTTATCGGTCTAGGGAAGCATTCCCAGATAGTGATGCATTTGAAAAGTGGCTGAGAACCATATCACAAGTTGACCCAAGCCTCAGGAAGTTGAGCTAGCGTGAGGTCACAAGTCATCAGAACCAAGGGTCTAAGCCTACTGGCTTTGCTCAAACTTATGAACACTCTCTCAGAAATTGTAACTAATGTTCACACAGCGTAGTTGCAGTATGCATAACAGATAGGCTCTGTGAGTGTTGAACAAACACAAACGTGCTTGAGCATGCATTTGCAAAAGGAATTAGTTAACCATCCAAGTAGATAAGCATAGTCAGAACCAAACTGTCAGCCATTATATGCATTCAATAAAAAATTGAAATACCAACTCCAGTAATTGTCATCTTCTCTGAGTTCAAAAAAGAAGTATTTTTATTTAAACATCTTTCATAAAATGTTTCTTTTCCAGATTTTCTTTTTTTTTCAGAAAGCCCTCCCCTACATTCCATGATGAATCGTTTTACCATCTACTTGCTGTTTTTCAGTCTTCTCACTGTTTACATCTCTACAACAAAAGCTGCAGGTCAGAAAAAAATGATTTCTCTTATTCAAGTCTTGTTCAAAATATCAGGCTTCAAAAATGAACTTTAATTTTAGCCACCAAAACTCACATTAAAATAATTAGAGATGTTGTGGTAGTCTAAATTGAATATGTGAAGAGTGGAGACCATAAATTGTCTCCCCTAGACAAGAACACAAAAGTTGAAATATCTAACTTTATAACAAGAGACATGTGTTGTGGGTCGATTATACAATTCCCAACTTGTTACGGGCGTTAGTAATGCCAGTGTTTGAAATTGGGAATAACATGCTATCTCCTGGAATGCCCACAACAAAATGGCGGACTCAGGATGTGAGTCCAGGTAAAGAAATATGAAGAAATGTCAAGAACCAATATATATGTACAAACAAATGATAATGTATTAACAACAAAGATTTACAAGCAACAAGACAATAATGTGTGTAACAAATGAATGTGGAAACCGTTTTGGTTCAAAGTATGTGTAGTGAGTTAATGTGCATACATATGTGTGTGTGTGTGTGTGTGTGTGTCTATATATGTATTGTTCATACATTTCCCAAATGGAATGCACTCTCCGCGATAGGTTACATGTTGGGGGATAAAATCAGAAGAGAGTGATAAAAAAAATTATCGCAGAGTATTTATAATCCTGAGGGCATCTCCTAGGAGCAGTTTTGAAAATTTGGATGAGGTAACCCCAAACATGTTAAGTTTGTATAAGAAATGATTGGCTGAAAGTTCAACAAAATCCAGGGAACCATTAATTTTTTTTTCTTAGCAAAAACCAAAATACTGCTTGAATTTATTGAAATCTCAAATGTTACAATTTATTTGCAGGTCCCTGTAATTTCATTGGCGTTTCTGAATGCTGGAATGAAATTTTATCCAAATATTGTGTGAATGGCATTTGTGAGGAGAAGCCAGATTATTGCAAGTCAGTATTATTCTTCCTTTGGATGTTGCTGAAGTTTTCTTCTTTTTCAATCTTGTATTCATTTTCTTAAAGAGATTTGTCATTTATTACTTGTTATTAATGCAAATATCAACAAACAATCCTGTTACGTCAAAAATATTTTTGGATATAAGGGATGGATTGCTGCTGAAAAGATTGTCACTGATGAGAATCTCATCTGTGGAAATGACCAGAGTCTATGGTTAACAGAGATAAGTCAAGAGGTTGCTGAGAGGAAAGGTCAATCAGTATATTGAGATGACTAGGTCACCAATGTCACAGTATAAAAGTTAATAAAATAGAAACAAGAAATGTTGAAGAGAAAATAAATGACTAAAATATGATACATCTTTAATTATTTTAATTTTTAATAAGACACATCTATAATTATTTTAATTAATTAGTAATCATTATTATTCATTCTGATTAGGACTGATTTTCATTGTCATTTTTATTAGATGAAGCATTGTCAACTTTTATTATAATTTTTTGATTAGTATTTATTTCATTTCACTTTCATGGTCATTTTTATTCGACAAAACATAAACATTATTATCAATTTTCATTCGTATTTATTTTGTCTTCATTTTTACGAGATTACCTATTATTATTAATGATTTAATTAATATTTATTAATGATCTAATTAATACTTACTTTTCCAGTCAGCTATAAGTAAGATACTAGAATAGATTGGGCTACCTAGCATTGAGTGGCAACCAATCCAGATAGATATCTCTGAATTCAAAACCTTGGAGAAGGAAATGAAAAACCATTCCACTATCTTTTCAAGAAACCGTGGCAATTCACAGTTACTAAAACTGTGAATTGCCATGGCTTCTTGAAAAGATAGTGGAATGGTTTTTAAAAGAAAAGTTACAAAATAATGAAACATTAGTATAGTTTTATTTTCATTATCATCTTAATTTTAATTATTTTAATCTTCATTAGTTTTGCAAACAAAAATTAAGATAAAAGTAAATACTTGTTCAAATTAATAATAATGGTTGAAAATGCTTCATCTAATAAAAATGAAGATGAAAATAAATACCTATTTAGAAACTGTGAAAAACTGGATGAGGATTCATTTACATCAGAACAATTAGCATCAATTGTTTACATTGAATAAGCCAAGATGAAAGAGATTACAGTAAGAAATGTAAAGACCCATCTGGTTGTAGGCTGGTGAAAAGATATATCAGTTTGGATAGTTCATGCCAAACATACTGATAAATGATGGTTTTGGAATCATTTTTATAATTGTTGATAGGATCCTAGAGCCAATTCAACATGCTGAAAACTTTTGTGGTGAGAAATTGTTGTGGTAATAGGAAAAGAGTGAAGTTTTTAGCCTTGAGATGGTTAAATGTCTTTGTCATGACTCAGCAAAGACACTGATGAATTCTTCTCATTCTGCTTCCTAAGAAATACAGTGTCTGTTTTCTTGCTTGCATAATCAGGTTGCTACCTTTTGCTAACTGCTGTGTAGTAACACTTCATGAATCTTGCCTTTGTTACTTTTTTATGTTTTCTTTCCTTCTTAGATTTATATTAGATGAAATATATAGACAAAAGTTTATGTGACTCAAATTTACCACCAGATCATTTTTTCCAACTTTCAATGAACCTAATATGAACCTTTATCGATTTAATTATGTCAACTGGAATTTTTAAACTGCCATATTTGATAGCATCTAAAAACACTCATTGTTTACAATTAATATTGCTATATCATAAAGTTCTATCTCCAAATATCAATCAAGGAAGGTCCTAGAAAATGTAGACTAAACATCAAAAGTCACTACCAGTGCCCGGCTGGGAAACCGCACACAGCAGGCCACCCATCATGCAGTCAAAACAACACAGAGTTGCCCTCTTTGAAGATACAAGGACCAACTTAATAACATTGAAAGCCACTGAACTTGAGTCTAAATTGTTTGAAACACATGCACAAGACTGTACCAATGTTCCATCACTATCGGAACCAAAATCTTTGAAACCACTAGAAGAGAAACAGAAGAAGTCAAACAACAAGAGATTAAGGCTCGACAAAATCAACCTCATACTCTACGAACATTACTATGCAGTCAGTGCCATTGACTCCTCCATGGTCTACTTTGTCATCAACAGTATCATTATGAAGGAAGCAATCAGAAAAGAAAAAATTAAATTCTTAGATACGAGAAAAAGTTGCCGACAATGACAGTGATCATGAAGTTCAGCTCAGTACAGATATTGATAGTGTACAGTATCTGGGTAAATATTAGCGTACAAGATGTTAACATTGCATAGACAATCTGAGAAATATGTCCATCAGATATGAAACAGGGGCTAAATTTCATGCCTTTAAGTATTAATATAATGTCATGCTATTCATTTTTTTTTGTACACTTATAAACTTATAAATAATTCCAACATATTTTAAGTAAATCAATATTTGATTAATAAATATATAGTTTTAAAAGTAGAAGTAATATTATCTGGAATTTTTATTAGATGGAGTATTGTCAACCATTTTTCATTTTTGACTAGGATCCCTTTTGCCTTAATTTTTGCTATATGTCATTGCAAATAATCAAGCTGTCTATGGTTTATTAGTAATTTTATATACTGCCTTAAACTAGACATCTTTTTGATTCACTCCATACCAAAACTTGTTGGCTGGACATAAACACTACAAAATTTAAATTTAAATAATTGCTCTCTGCATAGTGGCTCCAAGCATCATATTCAGTTCACAAAACAAATCCAAAAAATATAAAATAAAATCCAAAAATCAATGCCAATCACCAATGTTGCCTTTTTAATGGCAACATTGGTGATTGGCTTCAATATTTGGATTTTATTTTATATTTTTGATAAAACCTTGACAAAAAATGCTGAGACATGTGTCCACCCTGACTGTTTAAAAGGACCTGCTCAGTGACATTCAACACAGTAGGTAGGCAGTCACAAAGTTCAGTGGTCTCCTGGTCAACCAACCTGGCACAAGCTTCAACACCACACCTGTATACAACCAACTCTTGCATATTCCAGGTCGTTTCTCTTGCCCACAAAAGAGACATTCCTCCCTGATCCATTATACTGGCAATACTTAATTAATATTTAATTTCAACATATCTCATTTCCTTTTCTTTCCAACTAATCAGCAATATTTTGTTGTGTTACTTTTGCAACCATATGCAATATATAATAATAAGTTTGAGTATTATGAACAGTTTATCCTTTATTTCTGTTTACAAATGGCCATAGGCATTCAATAGAAAAAAATGATATCAAAATAAAAATCTATTGAGTAAATGTTACTGATATTGACATAGCTTAATTTAATATTGGGACAAAGGAAAAATGAAAAATTGCAGTAGAAAAATTGTGTTGTATCAATCTCTTAATGTTGGTTGGTTGTTTTGTCTTATGACATATCAACCTCAGTAGGTCATTTAATGTCAACAAAATTTTTTATATAGATTCATAGTGATAGTTTGGTTAAAAAAAAAAAGGTGTGTATGTATACATATATATATATTCGAACCATTTTTGAATTACTCATATTTTTTAGTACAATCCAACTTCTTTTAGGAAATTTAAAATCTTGGATGGTTTCATAAAAACTTTTTTTTTTAAATTACTCACTTGGTAATATTTTATTTGCACTAGATCAAAATCTACACACTTTAGCAGTATATGTTTCACTGTAAATTTCTCTTGGCATGAAGTGCATATTGGGGATTCTGTGCCCTCTAGTAAATAATGGTGGCTGATGTACGTGTGGTCTATGTGAAGGCATCTCTTAACATGAGAGTGCTTATCTTGCTTGTAAATCAGTATTTAACAGTACTGAATCTGGAGAGGGAGAGAGTGATATGTTGATCATTGCATTAAAATGCTACAGTAATATTTTATTTGCACTAGATCAAAATCTACACACTCTAACAGTATATGTTTCACTGTAAATTTCTCTTGGCATGAAGTGCATGTTGGGGATTCTGTGCCCTCTAGTAAGTAATGGCGGCTGATGTACGTGTGGCCTATATGAAGGCATCTCTTAATGTGAGTGGGCTTATCTTGCTTGTAAATCAGTATTTAACTGAGCTTGAACAGTGCTGAATCAGGAGAGGGAGAGAGTGATATGTTGATCATTGCATTAAAATGCTACAGCCAGACATATTTTCCTTCTTTTTTATTTTTGAATTTAGGGATAAAGAACTTTTAGAAGAATGCTTCCAAGTCAACTGTGACATTTCTGAAAATCGAGACCTTGCTTGGGTAACATTATTTACAGGAGTTTGCGCGTAAGTTTTAACTGTTTCCATTTTATTCCCTGTAGTAACCTTATGAATGTCCTATCTCTTAAGAGGGGAATGCAAAATAATGAAGCTGATTTCTCCAATGATTTCAGCTTAAAGAAACAAAAAGTATAAAATTTTAATTTCAAACCAATTTCTTTGACTAAATTCTGATTTTATTTAAACAATGTAAGGAAAATTATTGACAAAGTGGAAAAAAATTTGTGTGACACATTTTGACCTTTAGGACTTCTTAAGTCTAAAATGATGTTGCCATTGATGTAACTACATATGTGGACAAAGGTGAGGGGATGCTGAAATTTAAAAATTTTAAATTAAAATTTTATTTAGATATGTTTTCAATATAAAGTCTAGCCATTATTTACATTATTCGGACTATTGTCCTCATCTTTGTCACCATATTTATTACAACGTTTCAGCCATTGTACGCTCTGGCTTTCTTCAGGTGGTTGGAATGTCAAACTTAACCCTTTATTTCGCTCACTGGGGTAGACTGTTCTAGTTCCACTTGCCATGTTTAATATATGTCATTTATCAGTTATCTCCTGTTAATTCCCCTCTGGATCTAACCATTGCCTTTATCCACTGTGCCATGTGTCATTGAGACATCCATTAAACATGTCAAGTGGAACTAGAACAGTCTACTGCAGTAAGCAAAATAAAGGTTTCAGTTCGGCATTCCAACCACCTGAAGAAGGCCAAAACGTTGTAATAAATATGGCGACAAAGATGAGGACAATAGTTCAAATAATGTAAATAGTGTACATAATACCTCATCTCAGAAATATAGAGAGATACTGAAGGGCCAAAACGTTGTAATAAATATGGCGACAATGATGAGGACAATAGTCTGAATAATGTAAATAGTGTACATAATACCTCATCTCAGAAACATAGAGAGATACTGAAGGGCCAAAACGTTGTAATAAATATAGCGACAAAGATGAGGACAATAGTCCAAATAATGTAAATAGTGTACAGAATACCTCATCTCAGAAATATAGACAGTGTCTAGCCAGTTTTATTTAGTTTCTTTTTTATCACTTTTGTTATTAATTACCCCACACTGTGACAACAGAATATCTGCTAAGAAAAGTGAAATGTTGTAAGAATCTGGTCACAAAATTACTATTGATGATCTAGTGATTAAATCTCTTTCTATACATTTTTGTCATGACAAAGTTTTTTCCACTTTGTCTTTTAATTTTCCTAACATTGTATAAAAATTTAAATATCTTTTCCCACATTTACTTAAACAAATACAAATTTGAAAGTAAGTTACAGGACTTTATTAATCCAGCATTGTGCATACAGGATGTGATGGGTAAATTATCACCACTTTATACTTTTAATTTCACACATGTGCATTGTTTGTTTTTTTATTTTGTTGACTGCACAGTATAATAGATTCAGTTGGGGACCATCTGTGAGTAAAAGAGCACCATGACACAATTCACTCTACCAGAAATTTGGAAATAGAATACTGTACTGCTTGGCATTCATGCTGGAAGTGCCAATACGAACATTTCAGAGTGTTTGGGCATCAATCTGAGGACAGTGCAGAGGATTCAGAAAGAGATGGATGAGTTTAATTGTACAGCAGCTCGAAAAACTCACTCTGATTATTCTGATAAGAAAAGAACTCTCAAATTTGTTGGTGAGGGCCTCAGTCTCAACACAGAGGCCTACATCAAATGCTTTGAGGAGGTAGTGCTGCCCTGGGTCAAGACCCTATGTCTGACAACAGGACTCTGCACCATGCCACACAAGCAGGAGAACATAGTTATGGCTGTCAGACAATTTGTGACTACATCACCCCTTACATCTAACCACTTAACTACCCCCAGACTACAACCCCCTTTATTATTATGTGTAAGGCACAGTTGAATGAGGGACCAACAAAACTCCTTGTAACACCAAAGATGAACTGAAGACAAGAATTATGGCAGCATTCACCAACTTACACAAGGAGACTGTCCAGAAGAGTTGCAGAAGATTCTGAAGTCATCTTGTGTCTGTAGTTGAAGCCAGTGGTGATTTTGGTGAATAAATGTACTCTTTAGTATCTCAAGATATTTTTGGGCAATTTTGGTAAACATATCTGTTGAAATGACATGTCAGTGTTATTTTCAGTTTTGCATAATTTAGATGACAATTTATCCATCGCACCCTATATATTACTAGCAGTACAGAGTTACTTTTACTATATAATCTCCATCAAGACTGATACACTTGTCTCATTGGTACACAAGCAAATAAATGTATCCATTGGTGAACAGGGTGTTAAGCAGCTAGAAGAATCCTTGCACCTGAGTCCATCACATTATCCAGTAGTCAAAGGTAGATTTCATGACCTGGAAGCATCCATCATCACCAGCCTTCAAAGATTAAAATTTCAGCAAATAATGAAAAAATTGATGGCAACTGTGTTCTGGGTCGGAAAATGTGCACTCCTTGTGGACATTATACAGCATGGTTAGATTTTTTATGCAGTTGGATACGGTGAAACTGTAGACAGATTGAGAGAAAAGAGACCAGAATATTTGTATCTTGCTGCATGAAAATGCCACCGATATTCAGCCAGCCTGAAAAAAGAGTGACTCCAACGATACAGTTGGGATGATTTGCCACATCCTCTTCACTTGACTCCTTCAGATTATCAACTGTTTTGGCCCCTCAAACAACATTTATCTGAGAAGCATTTTTTTTTTTTTAGCTTTTCACCCCAAGCAAGACGGGAGTGCCACTAGCACGCAAGGGGTTACAGAGAGTGGGAGTGAGAGTAAAGTGGCGTGAAAGAGGAAAAGATGAAGAGAAGGACAGGAAATAAACCAAGGCATCTGGAGATGTTGATTGACATTACATTTGAGAGTTGGAGATTATAGCTATCAGGGAAGCAAGTAAGTGGAAGGGAGTTCCACAGACAGGAAGTGCGAGACATGAGGCTATTGGAGAAGAAGAGATGGCTACATTTAACCATTTCGACAGTGAGATGCCAACCTAGTAGCACATTTAAATTCGTGCAGTTTGGAAACTAGTGAAAGTAGCTAGTCAGAGCAGTTAGCATGAAAGTATTTGTAGAAAAGATAGAGGGAAGCGATAGCACATCTGTGAGGGAGGAAATGCAAATGAGATGCCAGATCAGGGCCAATTGCATTGCATATCCATCTGGATTTTGTCTAGGACCTTAAGACAAACAGCAGGGGCTCTCCAGACCATATAGGGCAGCAGTATTCCATGCAAAGGCAAAGCAGAAACCATATTGCTTGCCAGAGAGCAGGTCATGGGATGCAAGGTGCTTAACCACTTCAAAGACTTTGCTGAAAAGTGGAAGGTAACTGATAGGACAGTAGTTAGATGGGTAAGAAGGGTCTCCAGAGTTCTTAAAGACAGGAACAACAGATGAGGACTTCCAACATGCTGGAAAGCAAGAGTAGTTGAGGCATTAGTTATATAGTTTGGAGAGGACAGGAGCCAGTTCAAGAGCACATTTCTTCAGGATAATGGCTGGTATCCCATTCCTACTGCTAGCCTTATGGGAGTCTAATTTAGAGACGATGACCAATACCATCAATGGGGTTATGTGCAACTCACTCAATAGAGCCACAGTTTTAGGGGAGAAATGAGTTGAGCATTGAATTGGATGAGAATTTCCAAGCAAAGCACTCAGCCTTATTGGCTGAGGAAGTCAGGACCTCAAATTGGTTGAATAAAGGAGGTATTGTGGGTTTGCTATTGTTTAGTACGCTCTCGCAGAGACTCCAATAATCTTTGGAACCAAATTTGCAAGATGCAATATGTTGTTTCATTCCAGACAAATTATATAAAAATGACTCCAGTTTTTTGGTGTCACATACTTCATAGACTGTATTTATCCAATTTTGATTGAGTGATTTGTTTTTACGGTTTATCAACCTTTTGTAGGCTATTTAAAGCCAGATTTAGATTTAAGAATATTTTGGAGATAATAATGATTCACTAATGCAAGTCCTACTATTAAACCCGTCGATGGGGCGAAAGAGGCAAATTCATACCTTTCCCAAGAACATTTGCATGCAAATGAATATAACAGACCCAACTAGAATAGGAATTTGGCTCTCCAATTTTCAATTCCAAGTCGTTATCCATTACCCCACCTGGACATCTAAGCTTATAGGACTTGGTATTCTTAAGCTGTCACACATCTAGGTATTGACCAGGTTTTACATTACTTAACTTTGGTAATCATATGAAAACTGGTGTTTCAATGTGAGGTGGCCGTAAGCTTTGTATTTATACATTCAAAATGACAAGTGTAGCAATTTCAATGGCAACTATATGAAAAAGTAGTATAATAGAGTTGGTAACATACTATGTTTTCTTGTATAGAAATAAACATTAGTCAATTTAGTAAACAACATCTGTACCACACTTTTTCAGAAATATGTCCCTTGTATTTCTATTTCCATTCTTTTTATTATGGGAATGAGTTTTATCCTCACTGGATTCTCCATTACTTCTAAAACGTGTAATGTAAGTAATACCTATTTATGTACATTAAATGTGTTCCAAAGGTCATCATAGGTTGGGGTGGTAGCGAGGGCAAGCTCTTACAGTTTATAAAATATTACCATGGCATGCATCTCAAAGTGAAGGGCTTAAGATTAAACCACTGGCACTTCATAAGCAGCTTGATTAGATGTAGCTCATCAGCCCCTAGAAAAAGAATCAATGATTGTAAACCTCCATTGCTTTGTGGCTATATCCAAATATGGAAAAAGCTATAGAAGTAAACCCAGACAAAAATTGGAAATTAGTTGCTGGTCAAGTCTAATGTCTACTGCTGACACTGCATAGTTGCTGGTCAAGTCTGATGGTGAACCTTCCATAGTATTTTAATCAAAATGCACGGAATAGGTTGTTTGAGTCTGGATGATATGCATGCAGAAATTTCCTAAACCAGGTGATTTAGGTTGACAGGAAAGCCAGGGACCTAGTGTAGCTGGAATTTCATGGCTGTTGTAAGCGGTCCATTAATGTTGATCAACAAGGTGAGTTAGGTTGAAGGGCCGGAAGTAATGAAGGGCAGGAATGCTGGAAATCAGAGTCATTGGTAGCCAGAATTAAAGTTCCATGGTAGTCAGAAGTAAGAAAGAATAGAAAAGCCCAACTAGCATCCAGTTGGCTGACAAAAATAAATGGGAATATAACTCAATATAAAACCCGTCCAAGTGCCCTGGCCATTGTGGCCAGGGGCCAGCATTTCTCCTCCTCCTCGTCTTCTTTCCTCTGGGTTCGGTGAGAAGTTGCCGGGTTATATGAAAAGGGAATGTAAACATTAACTTGTCCTGCAAAGTACTAAAAATCTCAAGAAAAATAATTCAGAGATGCTATGAAATATGAAAAATATAAAAATGTTCACAAAGTGTATTTCAACTAGGTTCATAACACCAAAAGAACTAAAAAGTCATTAGGCTTATCATGAAACTAAATGAACTTAAATTGAAGGGTGTGTGGCAATGCAATGAAGAAATGCTCAAGGTCATGAAGACATAATGTCATCCCTTGGTCACATGGATGGAGTAGTGAAGGGCTACAATAAAAGTCAACTCCAAAATTTGCTGATAAGAATCCAAGGCTAATTATAGTGACAATGAAATAGTTCCTTATTTACCTTAGATAGTGAAATGATTTGCTTGATGAAACAAATCATAATTAAATACACTCTACATCACTTCTTATACCAACAGGAAACAAAGGAAAAAATATCTTTTTCACAATTTTCTGTGTCAATAAAATGTTTTCTGTTGCCATTATTTATCATGGTTTGTTTTCAACAACACTGGTCAGGAAGAGTAATTGTTTAATAGCAATTAGTAGTGGAAAGAAAAAAAATAGATTCCTTTTCTTCTTGGTAAGTTTTCAATGTAAAAATATGAAAAATGGAATTTCTTTTTCAAAACACACAAATAGTTTTCTTGTCTGGACATTAATAATAGAGAAATTATAGTTTTATACAATATGGATTCAAATTATAAGTGTTATTATTAAAAAGTCTATATAACAGAAAAGTAGATCCAATAAGTATGCATATCAAATTCAAGAGTTCTACATAAAATGATTTCACCCCATATTTTTTAACAAAATTTTCACCCAACATAAGGTTCAAGACCCACTAAAGGTAGAAGATTACTGAATGAGTGTGGATGCAAAAGGGAAATATGTAAGAGAGATAACGGTTGATCCTTGACTTGAACAGGTTATGATATAATTGTAGTAATAGTGGTAGCATCCTGTCAGGAGGTTGTTTCACAAAATATTTCTAAACATGTATAATGAATAGACAAAGTCTTCCTAATTATAGCTTGAATGGTTGATCTTTTATCTTGGATCTTGGATCTTAAAAGTTTAACTTATCATGAATATATTTAGTAAACAGATTGTATTGAGTGACTTTTATTAGACCCAATCTATAAAAGACTTGATTTTTTATTGCAGCCAACCTGTAATGGAGTCTTTATCAGAAGACTGAACACAACTGAATGAAAAGATCAACTTGTGACAAATATGAAGATATTCAACTCATCCAGCCTGTTCCAAATCATCGACTCTGATACAGGAGGATGTGTCTGCTTCTAACAACAATTAATGGTCATTGTCCACAAAACCTTTATACTCTGTGGCTAACCAGAATTTAATTCCTAAATCTATTTACTCTTCAAATATTCAATAAAACAGTGAAATTTCTAAGTTTTTGTTGTCTCTTTATCATCCAGCACTTGTGTCTATTGTCATATATTGAATAGGATTTTTTTTTAAAACATTTCACCCCAAGCAAGACGGGATGCCACTAGCATGCAAGGGGTAACAAAGAGTGTGAGCGAGAGTAAAAAGGCGTGATAGAGGAAAGGATGAAGAGAAGGACAGGGAATAGATCAAGGCACCTGGAGATGTCAATTAACATTACATTTGAATAGTTGGAAATTATAGCTTTCAGGGAATCAAGTAATAGGAAGGGAATTTCACAGATGGGAGGTGCAAGACATGAAGCTATTGGAGTAGAAGAGATGGCTATATTTAACCATTTTGACAGTGAAAGGGTGGGATTGAGATTCCAGCCTAGTAGCACATTTAAATTCATGCAGTCTGGAAACTAGCAAAAATAGCTCATCAGAACAGTTACCATGAAAGTATTTGTAGAAAAGGCAAAGGGAAGTGACGACATGTCTGTGAGAGAGCAACTGTAGATGAGAGACCAGATCAGGGCCAATTACATTGCATATCTATCTCTGGATTTTGTCATGGACCTTAAGACGAACAGCAAGGGTGCCACACCATATATGGCAGCAGTAACAAAATAAAAAGTGAGATTTTAAAAGTTTGGTCTGCCACTTGAATCCACATTGATGAGGTTTGAATTTAGACTTTCTAATATTACACTCAGTGTCACTCATCATTATGATTTGGGTTTCATCTGAGAATAAAAATGTTTGTCACTCTCTATAACTCCCAAATATCTTCCTTCTGAATGACACTCATCTTTCTATACAAAAAACAATCTACAGCAAAGGACACATTGTTGTCTTTGTGTTCTTTGTCAACCTGTAGCTCTGGTTGTGGTGTTTTTGAGTAATATCTAATAAAACCCACTTTCTACTATTATATCACATAACATGAAGATTTCGAATTGAGAAGGAATAATAGACAAACTAAACACAAAATAATTGATTAGACAAAATGTAGTGGAATCATAAATTGTCTTTAGGTATATACATGAAAAAAACTTTCAAAATACAAAAATAATTCTGATGCTCTCTAATAAAATTAATCAAATCAAAATTAATTAATGGTTATTAATTATTCTTATAATGAACCTTTTTCATCCTCTTTTTTGCTTAGATACTTTAAATGAAAGGAAAATGATTAAATCTGTTCTTAAAAACCATTTCAGTTGCCCTGACACTCGAGAAAATCAGTTTGTCCTTCAGTCAATAATGAAGCAGATTTTTAAAAAGGACCCCAAGACAAAAGTTTCATCTTTGTTTTGCTTTTTAGTCAATTCAACGCAGGGATTTAAAATGCAAATTAAATGCCGGCCTTTTTTTAATGCCGTCTCCATAAATCTGAAAGTGAGGTACATCATCTCCATAGCTGGGAGCCCAGTAGAAATGTCGGTTGGGATGGTGATTCAACTGACTTAAATAGTAGAAGCCATCAACTTGATAAGGCATCACATCAATGTTCTCTGACAGCAGACGGTTGTTTTTGAGAAGCTGAGCAACTTCCTAAATTTACAAACAGAAAAAGATAGATATGAGTCATTCAAACTAAATTCATTTTCATTTTTTCCAACAGTATGTTTTCCAACCTTCCTCAAGTTTTTATATTTTTTTGCTGTTAATATTAATTCTTTTTAAAATCCAAATGGTTCCCAGATATGAGTAAAAATATACACCTTGAAAAAACAGGTGAAAAAGAACTGGAATTCTAATCAAGGTTTGCCAAATGTAATGTAACCCTGAAGAAGGTGAGAAAGTGAACTAGTCCTCAAAATAAAGATAAAGATATTCATCCAAATAATTTATGGAATAAACAATATTTTATCACACAACTTGTGGAGAAACATTACAAAAGCTAGAAAGTGCACTTGCTGAAACAATGATTAAAACAACTAAGATAAAGATAGTAGTTCAAATACTACAATCAATACTCTTTAAGCAGAAAAGAAATGAATACATTGTTAGATTATTTTACAGACTGAACACACATTTACAAATGATAACTAAGATAAATGAGGAGGTGCAAGTAAAGTTATTGGCTTGATCCACTACCCAAAATCAATATTCTGATATTTGATCATTGAAATACTGATTTTGGGAATTCGGTTAGGCTAAGAACCTTTCAGCACCCACTCGTAATGATATTATGTTTGTTATTTTGTAGCCATAAAAGCATCAACAAATTGGAATTACCATTCTTTATCAATTGAATTTACTGCTTGATATATGATCAACTGAATGTCAGTTTATTGCTAAAGATGTCTTGTCTTCATTCCTTATCAACATGGCTGCCATGTAAATTTCCTAAATCATCCTCCATTTGTTTATCAGGCAAAGAATTTTCTTTATGTTTCTCTTGGCAGCTTTTGCCAAAAATCAAAAGCAAATTTAAATAAATAAACAATATTTTAAAGTGTATTAGAAACATTGCCATTTTATTTTTATATTTTAACATTATATATATATATATATATATATATATGAAGATACAAAGACAAGCTGAAAAGCAACTTGTCAGCTGTCAATATACCACATAACACCCTTGAGCACTTAGCCTTGGAGCAGCTAGAATGGAGATCAATGTGTTTTAGTGGACTCAGAAGTTTTCAATCTGTTTGTCTGAATCATCTTCAAGAAGTGAGAGAAAGATCTAAAAGGTCAGCCAATCTAACAGTGATCTCATCTCACAATCCTCATTCCATATGTGGCCTCCTTTGTGAATCACTAGCGGGTCTTAAGTGCCACTTAAGATTATTGCGCAAAATTTCATAACTGAATCAATTAAGCTCTCAGATCCTCATACATCAAAAGCGAGAGTCCATTATTATTATTATTATATCTGAAGAAATATAGTTTTAAGTTATGCTATATTTATGGGATAAAGTGCTCAATATCAGAGATAGACCATATGTAAATATAAAAGTGAACATTGAAATCAACATTCAGAGGTGACAGACTGTTTCATGCTAAACACAATCATCAGGCCTGATGTAGCACCCACAAGGGTAAATGTGTGGAGCACCCAGTGAGGATCGAATTCACTACTCAGCCATAATTTATCTATAACGTTTTTCTAAGCATACCTTAGATGTGGCACAAAACTGAAAGTATGAGGCAACTAGTGAGGATCAAAGTCATTACTTAAGTTTTAATGGATCTAGCGAGAAGCTTGCTAACCATTACACCACATCAAATTGCCCAAATGATTTTCTAGGCATAGATCTAGCAAAAGAACGAATGTGTGGAGCATCTAGTGCAGATCAAACTCACTACTCAGTCGTAACTGATCTAGTGAGACAAGCTTGTTAACAATTACACCATGTCAAAGTGTCCAAGTACTTCTTATTATGGATAGAGTTTAACCTTACAATAATATTGTTCCCGTACAGGGTAAATGTCAATGTTTTATCTGAATTTCAGTCTGACAATCTAACAATTAATACACTCAATTCTGTGGCACAGGTGGAGTAAACATTAAGTGATGAAAATTGAACTGGTGATCTGAGTTCAAAGTCCTGCAAAGACAGTATGTTTTCATATCACATTAATGCCTGTCTCTATTCCTCACCAACACACCTGCCTTGGATTACATAGAAAGGTAAACTGGACTTTCTAGTTTTGAGTGGTAACCAAAACACAATGGAAAATGACTGCACTATATTTCACAACAACAATTTTGGCAATGCACAGTTATATTAATATTAGAGATATTAAAGAAAAGGAAGCTGTGGAGAGTTGAGAAGACATTGCAGTTAGAAGGAGAAATATCATAATTCTAATAATTTTTATAAGAGACTTAATGAAAAAAGCATCATTTAACTATTCTTCAGAAAATGGGATATTTTATGATCTGTTTTTATCTCTATAGCTTGCAGCATCTTTTTTTATTTTCAAAAAGATGGCTAACAACAAATCATTCTACCAAATACAAATAAAACAGAGTTTCTTTCTAAAGATAGTTCCTAAATATTTCTGACTGAAATAAAGGAATATCTATTTTACTTGTGAATCTAATAATCCATCATATACAGTAAATTTACCAATAATTAAAATTGTTACATTCTGCTTTTGGCGGGAAAACAAAAAAATGTTTACACTTGGTCCATTTATGTTCCATTTCTACTTGGCCCTGACAAGGTGGCCAAATACTGTTTTTAAATTACAGCAGCATTATTGAGCGCTTGTGTGACCCGCCAAGAAATATGTTGGCAAAATTTAATATGTTTCTTTCTTGATTTAAGAAAAAAATTAATGTTGGAACATTCTGAAACTGTAAAGTTCAAATATTTCTAAGAGCTCCAGTCTGAAAAGGCTATTATTTTTTTTTTATCTCTTTTTTCATTTCTTTGAGAAAGAGTGATTTCAAATTAATTCTTTTCTTTTTTTCTACTAAAAATTAAATATGATAATCACTTCTCACTTGAAGAACTCTCTTCTTGCATCTTACTTTCAAGTCAACTTTGATATTTAAAAATGTAAATGCAATGTCAATTATCTTCTGTCTTCTTAATTCCTGTTCTCTTATTGTTTTTTTCCTTAATAATATTTTTCTTTTTCACATATACTTTCACACTCAGTAACCCCTTGCATCTTGCTGGCTTTATTGCCTTGCTTGAGGTGAAACAATTAAAAAAAGAAAAAATTCAAGTCTCATCAATAAGAGAAGATAGAAGACTTCTAATACAAAATGTAACATTTATATACCATGTATAACAGCAAAATTGTCCAAATCATGTAACAGTGAAATTGTCCAATTATTAGATTAAGCTCTGAACCGTTGTATCTTAGAAATGATTAAAGATATCCTACTGGAATTCACTGAGGTTTTTATAACACTATTCGACTCTACTTTGAGCAATAAGAATGTATAATTACTCTCTAAGCTTAACAAAAGTATTATAAACAAAAATGACATGTTCATTATTAATTATCATTAATTATTCAAAGCTAAGGATTGGAAGTTCATGAAATATTGAAATAAAGTTCAAATATATATATATTATTCCAGGATCATTTTGTAACATTCAAGATGATCTTTGCCCTCTCTAACCTTCTAACTTTCTGTCCCGGAGTAACAAGTTGCCTCACAGTTCTCATATATGATTTCATTTTCAAGTCTTTTTTCACTGCTCTTTGGACTGTCATAGCTGAAACTTCTCTTTTATGTGCCAAACGTCTTATGAATTGAGTTGGATCTTTTCTAATTGATCTCTTTAGCTCTAATTTCGAATGATGATTCCTCTTGTTGTTGTGACCTCCTGATCCAATTTTCCTCTCTACCGACCCATCTTTTTTAAACTTATTCACTGTTCTCTACATGGTTCTTGAATGGATTTAAAGATGGAAGCCCGAGTATGAATGTTGGTACCATTACTGAAGGCCTGGATGATCTTTTTTCCTCTCATCATTACTCAGTTAGGAAGACAGAGGGTCTGACACAAAACAATTTTAACCTGCTCACTTTTTAGCTGAATAACTCAAAGGCTTTTTCAGTTATTCTTATGATAAATGGTGTCAATATATCTAAATGTCTTATCTGAAAGCCTGGAAAAAAAAAGAAACTCAATTAGTTTAGTGGTTTTTTAGATATCAAACATTTTGTGGGAGGGACAATTATGCTGTTACATGTTTTGGACAGTTTTGATGTTACGCCCGGTATACAAAAATGAATGCAAGTTGAAGCAGAACTAAAGAAAAGATTGAAAAACTGAATGAAGAGTGTGCATACCTTGCTGGCATCAGGATTGAATTCATTACCCCAAATAAAGAGAGCAGTTAGAGTATCATTAGAATCTTTCAAAGTTGAAATAAGTGAAAGCAATCCAGGACTACCAAAACAATTATAGACAAGGACAAGCCTGCAAAAAAATAATACTGAGAATAGAAAAATGGAAAAATAAAAAATATCTCTACTATTATTCAGCTTGTTTGTATTAGTTTGGTACATTTCGGCATAGCCCATTTGGCATGGTTGATTTGGTGTCAGAAAAATAATTAGACTATTCAGCACAGCTGTTTAGGCATCAAACTCTTTCAACATCATTGTCTTTGACCAGAGGCAACACAAAAAAAGGATAAAAGCATTGAAAACACCTAACTTTCAATATGACTTTTTATTCATTTAGGGAATTAAGGATCCTATTAAAAACATTAACGGAATAATGTAAATTAAAAACTTAAATTAAAAATATTGTATTTAAAAAAAATTAAAAAACTTAGTAAAGCTATTTAATCTTAGAAATTACTTCTTCATTTTGTAATTATGAGCAACAACGCTCAGGAACTCAATAGAATCTAGTGATTCAAATTCCATTATGACTAAATGATAATGATAAAATATTTACTTTCATTTTGGAATAAAAGGGCATTGACGACTGAAAAATATGAAGCTGCACTGAAAGAAATATAATATAAAAATACCTCCAACTACTGTTTTTCTTAAATTTAAAAATACCTCCAACTACTCCTTTTCTTAAATATAAAAATACCTCCAACTACTCTTTTTTTCTTAAATTTAAAAATACCTCCAACTACTGTTTTTCTTAAATATAAAAACGCCTCCAACTACTCTTTTTTCTTTAATGTAGACATGCCTCCAATTACTCCTTTTCTTAAATATAAAAATACCTCCTACTACTCCTTTTCTTAAATTAGACTATTCAAGTATATAATGATACTAATTTGACTACTAAATGAGAGAGAAAGAGAGAAAGAACAAATTTGACTATAACAACAAAGTAGTAATCTGACGCATAACCGTCCCTCTTCTGAAAAATTCCTATGTCGAATTGGCCATGTCGAATCAATGACACCAAATGGGCTATGCTGAAACATCCCATTCCCTGTTTGTATACATGACTGTATGTTTTTCTACCAAGGATCAAAGTGTAGTAACTGTAATGGATACAAAGTTCCAATTTTGAAAGTTATATTTTTATGAAAGAATGTCTATAAAACTTATTAACGATCTATCTGCATGTTATTTATCATCAAAAGAATTACTAAGTTAAGAGAATATGCACCATTGAGATGTTTTTAAAAACAGGGTCAGCGCATATTAACCCCAGACCCCCCAACACTCAAGCCTTAAACTAAGCACAACTGAGTATTAAAGAAGGAAAAATTTTTTGCAGATTTTGATTTCATTCTGGGCTCATTTTTTTGTCAAAAACTGTGAATCTGTTTTTGTTTTTTTACAATGGGTTAAAAGCAACATTTGTCTTCTATGTCCCAGAATTGCACTTATTTTCAATTTTTCCAGTTTAAGTGTTCAACTACATTACATACTAGCCTGCATTACTGCACCTTGTTGCATGTCACACATGTAAGAAAATGATGATTGATTTTAAATCATTGTTATAATTTGTGGAAAAAATGATGCATTTCAATATTACTCAATAATTTTGCCAATATGACCTCCATCTTCTGGCTTTCTCCTTCTATATTTTGGATAGGAGTCATTCCTTTGTTCAAATTTAAATTTAATTTAAATCAAAGAGAAAAAAGATTTCAGTGTGAGGTATGTTATCCCTGGGGACCCCTTTGATCAAAATGCAATATACTTATCCAAGTACCCTAGGAGTCATTCCCTTGTTCAAATTTAAATCTAATTTATATCAAAGGGAAAAAAAAATTTAGTGGGAGTTTGTGTCCCCATGGACCCCCTTTTGACCAAAATGAAATATACTTATCCAAGTACCCTGGGTAATGTAGTTTCAGAATATATATGGTTACGAGGGTCTATCTCCAAAATCCTAGAAGGAGTTTGATAACAAACAAACAGACAGACAGAGGCTACAACTTTATATAGAGAGATTGTCCATTATTGTATACTAGCAGTAGAGCCCAGCGTTGCCCGGGGATGTAACAGTAAGAGATAGATCAAGTATCGACCATCATAAAGACTGAAAAATGAAATTGACAAAGATTATTGTGTAAAGCTGACGGACACGCATGTCTTAATTATTTTTTTTTTTTTTATTTTTTACTAATTGGTCAAACCCAAACTCAAACAAAAACATTGTTTTCAATTGTTAAGAGTCTACCGATTAAATAGAATTTTATTATAAACAATTGTCTTGTAAATGGAATTTTTAAAGCATTCTGAATGTAAAAATAAAGAAAAAAGTGTGCAAGACAATAAGAAACACTACCTGCCAAAAAAAGTGAAGTTTTGTTGAAATCAGTTGAAAAATGTAGGAAATCTGATCCCATATGTAAACAAATACACACTCACAAACAACCTGGGTTTTATAATAAGTATAACTCGATATGAGTTGTCCCCCTTTCATTCTCGTGATGCCTCTTAATTGTGTTTTCAAACTGATTTCGTGCAAAAACAATTCTGTTTTTCCAATTTTTGGTCCTGTCAGAACCACCACAAGGTAATTTTACGTAGTCCTGTGAAGTTTTGTTGAAATCAGTTGAAAAATGTAGGAAATCCGATCCAATATATAAACGTACAGACACACACACACAGCCTGGGTTTTATAAGTATGATAATAAAAGTTACAATAATATTTGTATTTTATATGAATACTAACTTATAAAGTTGTAGTAGAGTGGGGAGGGGCGTATCATAGATTGCCAGGGACACGAGACCCTTGCACCAGCCCTGGTTAAAAACAATGCTAACAACTATATGTACCCAGCTGTAAATAATGTTTAGCAGGTGATTTACAATGTTTTATCTATCTCACACCCTCCAGTAGTTTTGGTGTCTGTAGAGCCTGGACAGACACACAAACGTACAACACAACACTCACACACACACACACACACACACACACACACACACACACACACAAACAAACAACATCTTTCTGAAGCAATGGTGTAGGTTTTATTCCCTTTCTGGAAATCTTTACTACAGTTGGATGTATGCATATATGTGTCTGTCTGTGTGTCTGTTTATATTCAATTTTGATAATTGGATAATTTTTTCATTAAGAAAAGGCTTAATAAATCATACTCTTCCTTAAACACAGATCTTAATATAAAACTTATTCTTCTTTTATGCATTGTATTCTTTCAGGGCATAAGCAATTATGGTTCTCCATAACTTCCTATCCTTTTTACCAACAAGCAATATTTGTCCCCTTGCTATCCCTGCCAGTCCATGTTCTGCCATCCATTTGCACCCACCTGCTTCTCTCTGGGCTATCAACATGTCCTATGAGTGTCAAGTTTAGAGCAAAATTTATTAAATTATTTAATCTTCTGTAAGAAAGAAAAAAGAAGCCAAATCTATCAAGTGTGTTTCATGAAGCAGCAAGTGACTTACGTTTTCAGAGAAGTATTTCTTTCTAACATTTCTGCAATGTACTTGACTCCCGGGTCCTTGATTCTGTTGTAGCCGATGTCCAAATATTTCAGACAATTACTGGTTGAAATGGCATCACCCAAAACCTTGATACCATCCTCTCCAATTCGATTACTTAAAAAAGAAAAAATTTAAAAAGAAGAAAACACTGGCTTTAAAAAATATGAATGTGATAAAAAATTCAACCAAGTGCAGAACATATTTGAAATAGGCTACCTATCAGTGTCTTAAGAGGACCACTCTACTGTCTATGTCCTGTCTTTTCACACATACACACAATGACAAAAAGGAACAATCAACAGTTGTAGTCAGTGAGAAAAGAAAGCAACTTGGATGTCATAAGAAGAAAATCTGAATTTAACAGAAGTCAACAACCGTAAAAAGAAATTTTATTTTCCCTCGGAAGGAATGGAAGACGCGAGAATGTCCACTCTCTTTCCCCTGAACGTTAAAAAGGTGCAAACAAACAAGACTCTTTGACTACTACACTGATTAAAACATTTATTACAAAACATTATTAAAATAATAAAACATTATTAAAACAATAAAACATTAATAAAACAATAAAGCATTATTGAAACAATAAAGCAAATATAATATTTTACAATATAGGCTTGCACAAAAATTTCCTTTTGTGTGCCTGATTTAAAACATAAAATAGGATAACATATCAAGAAAAAGTAATACAAATTTTGGATAAGACAGAAAATACTTTTGAAAAAATAGGTGCATCCACCAAATAGGAAGATGAAAAAAATCACTGAATGGTATGATCTTAAAAGTAACTTTACAAATGAAGTCTGCTTCTACAAATATGATCATTTTTAAACAAAAACAGCATTTATATGCACAAAAACACAAGAAAGTTTGGAAAATAATAGAAGGACTTGCACATTAATTGATTAACTATAGACTTTAGTAAGATGGTCACAAAATGAATTCTTAAAAACAAACTTTTTTAACAAACCAATAATTCAGTAAACAAAATAAAGCTCTAATGTACAATCAAAGTTTATAAATGAAAGCAAACAATGTAGTTTTGAATCTAATATGAATCCAAATTTAAACTTAACGTCACCTAAAACAACATATTAAGAGGGCATGTGTAAGGATTAGTTTAAGGTTAGCTAAGGCTTCAATCTTAATGGGGAGTAAATTGAATTATAATAGTAATTGTATAGCTTCAATATACAATGAAAATTTGGCAATGTTTAATTTTCATGTCAGCAAAAACATAGTGTGTTAAAAGGAGAGATATACTTTTAACACCACTATACACTTTTCACTCGCTCAGCAACGTTTATTTACAAGATTATAAAAATATGGGAACCAAGTATAATGCAATATTTATTATTTACCATTTTATAAAGAAATAAATTTGAGAAGAAATCTTTTTATTCAAAAATTTATCAAAAATTACAAAATTATCAAATATATGTAAACCAGCTACAATGCAATATTTATTATTTACCACTTTTTTAAATAACTATGAAAACAAATTTTTTTTATTCATAATTTTATAAACATATTAATTAGCTATTATTATCAATTCTCAAGAATAAATAAAATGTATAAATCCACTTTCATATGTTTGGGTTTTATTAAAATTCTAATCATCACTTTTTAGAACAATAAACATCAAGGAATCAAGTGTATACAGTAATAGCGGTGTTAAGGGAATAACCATGCTCTTGACACATTGGATTTGCAGACATGAAGGTTAAACATTGCCAGTAATTTAATACATAAATAATGCTAATATATTGTGAAATCATATTTATGGATCTGTAGAACAGGCAACCATATTTAGGGCTTTATGAAACAGAAAACTTTATTTCAGGGTCTGTACAACAGGCTGCCATATTTAGGGTACTATAATAGGCTGCCATATTTAGGACACTATAATAGGCTGCCATATCTAAAACAATATAATAGGCTGCCGTATTTAAGACACTACAATAGGCTGCCATATTTAGGACACTATAATAGGCTGCCATATTTAAGACACAGCAGTACAACAGGAAACCATATTTAGGAACCTGTACAACAGCAAGCCATATTTAAGTTATTTTATAACAGGCTGCTATATTTAGGTCTGTGTATGACAAAAAAAATATTTAGGGTTCTGTATAACAGGCTTCTGTTTGTAGGCGTCTGTGTAACAGGAATTCATATTTAGGGATCTGTTGAACAGGAGAGCAATTTTATGGCTCCATACAACCCACAGCCATATTTAGGGTTCTGTAAGCAGTCAAAGAAAAATGTCTTACACACATCAAACACTAGCAGCATGGCCCAGCATTGCCCATGCTTGATTCAAAAATCGTACGACTCATACAGCAATCGCTATCACTTGACTTAAAATATTTTTGCCCTTCCTTGCCTTTAAAGCAGTGCCCTTTGCCATGCTGATGTTGCTACATGCCTTACTTCTTGCCTATCTCACACTGCGAATTTTTCTATACTAAACATTAAGTCTGTTACGAAAAAAGAACTAAACAAAATGAACACAAAACAATCAGCTTTAAAAAAGAACTCGTAACTGGAAAAACCGAATGAAAAAAGAATGTTAACAAGAAATACTTTTTCACACCCAACCCAGTTCTGCGGAATCAGAATCAACGTTAAGTTTAAGCAAGCAAATGAGCCAATTGGAGTAAAGTGCCATGCAGATTTTAATTTTTACCACTTGTGACGAAAGCAGCTATTGATTTTTTTGCATGCTAGCATGCTAGTTAACATTCGTGTCAGTCAGCTGTTGACTCTCACGCTGGCCAATAGAATCTTCCTGCCTATTCGTGGCAGCCAGCTATTGGCCCTCACTCTGGCCAGTAGAAAATGGCCGCAAACAACATGAAAACTGCCGTAGAAGCATGAAAAAATCAATTATTTCCACTATTGATGGGAGTTGGGAAATGCAAAGTCAGTCTTGGCTTTCCTGCTAACTTGGAGCATGTGCATGTAAATTTTGATGCAAATCCGTCAAAAATTGCGGCCGTGCATTCGTTACACACACACACACACACACACATACATCCTGCCTTTTATAGATAGAGATCAAGAGAATTTCCCAACAACTCAAGAAATAAATCTCAGTAATGACCAACCTGCTCAGATCAAGATGTGTCAGAGTTGTGTTATATATCAATGATTCTGATATTCTTGTAGCTCCAAAATCACGAATATCAACTTTTGCTAAATGCAATTCTTTTAAGGTTTTGTTGTTCTGTTAAAAAATAATAAAAAGAAAACAAAACATGTATAATCTATATTATATTTTTTAATGGATGTTGGTATATATTTCACAACTTCCATTCCTGTCATCTACCAAAGATTTAAATTGATTAATTTTGAAGTTCAAATGCAAAAGTAGAACACAAGCTTGTAGCAGACAATAATTTCCAATTCTTAGAAAAAAAAGAAATGTTTGTGCAACAAATTGTTGCTATAATTCTACAAAACTATTTTTTCATTTACAAAACTGTCATATATGATTTAATTTGTTTATTTAAATAATTATTTCTTTTAGTAAACCAAAAACCTTCTTTAATAGATGATTTGTATGGTATGTCTGTCCTGTCAATGATGGAAAACAATTAAAATTACATTTTTGTTTACACTCATCATTATTTGACAAATATTTGAAAACTGAGGACTTTTTATTTATAACCAGATGTATCATTGCATGTTTGGGGAAATGACAAGACGTCTCAATATAAATAGATTTATAGTCAGCACATTCAAATTTAAAATAAAAAGGATTTTTTCATATTTCTTCAACAAAAATTTATTTTACAATTCTTATTTAAAAAAGAAAATGCTTTCGCTACATTTCTGTCTTATACTGTATCAATTTTTTGCTGTCGAGAATATAATAAAACATTTTTGAAACTCTTTGAATCAGTTAAGATACTTACTTTGTTCCTCTTTATGTATGAAAAAACAACAAGGTTGCCAAATAATGGCCAACTGTATTTAGGGCTCTGTACAAAAGGAAGCCATATATAGAATTCTGTACAACAGGCTGCCATATTTAGGGCTCTATACAACAAGAAACCATATTCAGGTCTCAGGTTGCCTTATTTAGGGCTCTGTACAACAGGAAGCCATATTTAGGGCTCTGTATATTAGGTTGACGTATTTAGAGCTTTGTACAACAGGAAACCATATTTAGGGCTCTGTACAACAGGATACCATATTTAGGTTCTCCGTAAATCAGGGAGCAATATTTAGGTTTCTGTACAAGAGAAAACCATATTAGGGGTCTGTACAATTGACAGCCATATTAGGGTTCTGTAAGAAGGTACAGAAAAAGTCTTACACACCTCAAATATCAAGAGCATCAGACATTATGACAAACTTTGGCCAGAATTCAAATTTTATTTCCTAATTTTGCTTTCGAAACTAATAAACTAACAAAAAATCTTCACATATTTAATATATTGATTAAATTATTATAATGGCTTGAAAAACAAAAACATAAAATAAACTGAATTCAATAAGGCACTCATTTCTCTGTCAATATGACAACAGCTAAGATGACTGGTAATTGCACAGAATGTGAGAAGAATCGGGTTCATGACTTTCTCAAGGGAATTACTATAAACTATAAAAATCTTACAAACAATTTCAACTTGATTTCTGCTCTGTTTGCAGATTCCATCTTCTGATCAAAATTCACTACTCAGCAGTATTTCAGGTTCTGATATTTTATAAGTACAATGCAAATAGAAAAATTAATATCTGATTATCTGAAAGCTATAAAATAATTTAAATAAAATATCATGTTTTATTTGCAAATTTTAAAATAAATGAAAACTATTTCATCTGGATCATTAGAAGATCAACATATGCAAGTTACACATCTTTCGTAGCGAACTGTGATGAAGGAAAGTATTGTGCAACACACTCACACACACATATATATATAAGTGGACAATGAGGTCAACATCCAATTGCAACAGTGTTTCATGCTTAAATGATTGCTTAACAATTATATTTAAGCATGAAACAGACTGTTGCTACTGGGTTTTGACCTCAATGTCCACTTTTATATATATATATATATATATATATATATATATATATATATATATATATATATATATATATATATGGTGTCCATAAAATTCCATAAAATTCGTGTGCACTTTAAAAATTTATAATTTTATTTGTATTCGCGATAGAAATAATCTGTATAAAATGTTATAAAGTTTAATGTACCTAGTTTTGAGTATAGCTAAAATAACTAATGTGATTTCAGGCTTTACTGTAAAACAGTTGGCAAATGTTTTCCGTGAACTGCAAAATCGTATTACCTCTGTATTGCTAATGATGGAGGACATGTAGAAACTTAAATAAAATTTCAATAAAACCTTAAAAAATATAGATTAACTTCTTTCTAATCCTTTTTACAAATTATTTCTATCACAAATACAAATAAAGTTATAAATTTTTAAAGTGCACACGAACTTTATGGACATATATATATATATATATATATATATATATATATATATATATATATATATATATATGTGAAAAAAGCGTATATAAATATAAATAAATATATATATGTATAATTATTTATATATTATATGCGCAGTACTTATTAGAAAGCGCTCAATATCAGAGATAGAGCTAACATATATATATATATATATATATATATATATATATACATACACACACACACATAAATATTTAACCGACTGATAAATTGAACATGCAGAGCTTTAAATATTATATATTAAAAGTTAGGAATTACTTACACACCCGCCACTATGGTTTCAACCATCAAGATTTCGCCTGACAAAACTTTGATGGTTGAAACCATGGTACTAGATGTGCAAGTAATTCCTAACTTCTAATATATATATATATATATATATATATATATATATATATATATGGATTAAGGCCATATCATGTTGAAACACCAGTTTTCATACAATCAGTAAAGTTAAGCAATGCCAACCCTGGTAGGTTTCTAGATGGGTGACCACTTGCAAATACCAAAGGGCTGTAAGTTTGGATGTGCAGTTGGCATAATGGATAACAGCTCAGAATTGAAAATCAGTGAGCCAAGTTCCAATTTAAATCAGGTTTGTTATATTTAGTTGAGAAAGGTATGAATCCATCTCTCCTCCTGCTAGTTATGTGTTAATTACTAGGACTTCTATCTGTAAATCATTATAGTTTCAAAAAAATTCTTGCAATTTAAAGATATTTTATGGCTTTAAATAACCTACAAAAGGTTAATAAGCCATAAAAAGAAATCAATTAAGGAATGAATCAATATATATATATATATATATATATATATGTGTGTGTGTGTGATGAAGTTCAATTTATATTACAATGAATCATTCATACAAAAAGTAAATTAGTAACATTAATGATATAAAATGACAAAATCCCTTAGCATGACAGGCAGCAGCAGCAGTCCAGAATTCCATGTTGGTTACCCAGACCAATATACATCTGATAAAGGCTAGAGGATACAATGGCTGAAACATTGATAACAACAACAACAATGAGGACAATAGTCCAAATGTAAATAGTGTATATAATGATAATTGATCATCCCAGAAATTCAGGCAGAAACATTTTAATGAATTTTATTAAAGATCATCATTCTTGATCCGATATAAACCTTTTTAGTCAAAGGGAAAAAAATAGATAGAAAGAAATCAATTACCTTCAATAACTGGCCAATATGAACAGTGGCACATTCTTGGTCTTGACCTTTCAGCAGAGGTCGACTGATGTTCAAATTCAAAAGGGTGGAATTGGTAAAATTTAACACTACTGCCAAAGCAATGACACTGTCGATGGTCTGTAATTAATGACAGATATAGACATGGAAATATTTCTACTAAAAATTAGAATGCATGAAAGAAATGAATTAGGAAACCAAAAGAAAAAGATAACAGGAAGAATTGTTCTTGAAAAAAACCCTGACTGAATATTTTATCTGAAATTCTTTTATTTAAAACAAATATATTTTCACTCTACAAAAATCATATTTGAAATATGAAGAGGAAATGAATTTTTATGACACATTAGCTGCTACATAATGAGCTATTAAATAAAATTCTTTTTAAAATTTAAAATTTTTAATAATATATCAAGAATTCATTCAAGACTAGGAAGGAATTTTCTGAATTGTCAAAGGAAGATACACAGATATGTACCTTGCCCAAGGATAACTTGGATCTTTGCTAGGCAGGGTCAGGAGTGTTGTCCATATTTTTGTTACTGTAGATTAAACTATTAAGCATACAGAAAATTGTACACCTATCTATATATGACCACACCTACTGGCCTTAAAATGTGTGTCTGTCAAGTCATTGGGAATGAATTATAACTCCAAAAGAATATCAAGGTATTAGCCACAAAGAAACAATAACAAGAAAGACTGATGACAATTTGGATTTAGACTTATTAAAATCATCAGATGTTTGTCTTGTGACAAAATCCAGTTTGTCACTTCTTGAGTGAGTAAAAGGTTGGTTTTTCTCAAATTACAAAGTCTACTGCATTTTGACAGAAATCCATGGATTTTGTTTTTTGTTATATGCTCTCCACCACATCTTGAAATCTGAGAGGACTAAAATAGAAAATTTTTATCTCATCAGCAACTATGGTTCTGCCAAGCAAAGTTACCAGATTAAAATTTTTATTTAAAGCCAAATAATATGTATAAAAAGCCAGAAAATTGGCCAAATTAATATTTTTTATAAAGCCAGAAAAAGCCAAATAAATATGAGATTTTATTTATTCATTAATATATAATGGGATTTTAGGCATTTTATAATGAAACCATTTTTATTATTTCTTCCAATTTTATAATGATTTTTTTTTAGTTGTAAATTGGAAATTTAATTTATTTAGATGACAATAGTCAAACAAGTCTGATTCACTGGAAAATTTTTTTTTTAAATTTTCTTTTTAGAATTTTAATAATACATTTTTAGATAAATTTCATGTCATTTAAATTTTTTAATTGAAAAGCTGTTTTTTTTACCTAACTTATAAAATCTAATTATAGAATAATAACTGTTTTATCAATTACACATTTTTTTAATATGTGCATCTGTAAGACTTTTTTCATTTAAAGAACTTAATATTGACTTATAAAAGAAACATCGAAGAAGAGGGTTGAGCATGTGAAAGACCAGAAAAAAATGGTCATTAGTTTATTTATTTATATGATAAAGAATTATGAGAGAGAAATTTCTTCCTTTTGATGGGCTGTTGAAATTGGCATAGGTTTACAAAAGAATCATTATTTCTTTTTTTATTCTACAATAAATTTCTGGGAGTCCTTCCCCTTCTGGACTAAGGATATAATGATAAAAAGGGCCGAAATGCCTCATAATTCAAGCATGTCACTGAGGATAAAAAAAAAGAAAAGATTGTAGCATAGCAGCTGTAATATACTGTTTATTACATATTTTAGTATATAAAAAAAAATGCCAAAAAAAAAAAGCCAGAGATGCTAAATCAATTGTCTGGCACCAAACCAACATAAAAAAAAGCCAAATTTCAGAAATTTAGAGTCAAAAAAGCCAATCTGGCAATCCTACTGCCAAGTGGTATCACAAATAAAGGAATTTCTCTACCTCCTAAGGAATTCAACAAATTGGCAGCTATGATTTTGTCAAGAATCTTGCAGCCATTATAAAGAAGCCTTTGTAAAAATATTTCCAAAAGACAGCAAAATTTCCAACAGCATTTGACACAGATGATTGGTGAAGTTTTGTAGGATTTAAAAGGTAAACAACAAAGTTTTTCTTCACTCATTTAAAAAAAAAGGAAAGAGTGTATGGAATCTTCTGGAAAGAAATGAAGAATTTTTATTGTATGTTGATTTGGTTTTGCTTTCCAAATACAATTTAATTTAAAGACATACTTTCTACCCCAATTCTTTGCTGAATTAATCAGCCAATAAGACATACTTTCTGCCCTAATTCTGTTAGTTCAATTAATCAACCAATAGGATACACTTTCTGCCCTAATTCTCTTTGCTCAATCAATCAGCCAATAAGAAACACCTTTTATCAGAAATATCATACAAACCACTTAATGCCAAATATCCATATATTTTTGTTTATACAGGGTGTGGCAGAAATACCTCCTACATATACCTCCCAGATATACCTCCCACATAATGGTAAGACATTACCAAGATGAAAGCACCATTACCACTAATATCTTAGAGGTATTTCTGGGAGGTATATATGGGAGGTATTTCTGCCACACTCTGTATTATTTTATTTTATTGACAATTCAATCAAAACATCACAGAGTCTTACAAAGATCTGGCCATTGTGGTGTAGTGAGACTGAATAAGTTCATAGTGAGTTTTATGCCAATAAATATCTATAGATCTAATATCTATATCATTAAATATTTGGGCTTAACAACTTTAACAAAATATTGCAATAACAATCATAAATATTTAAAATTTATTTAAAGAAGTAAGGAGGTACAAATGAAAAGATTTTAAATTGACAAATTTTTCCATTTCATTGAAACAGACATTAAACAGTTCTTTCTTCTCTTCTATCTTTCTTTTCACCCAGTAACATCTCTGATATGTCTTTTCCATCTTTTCAAGTAATCAAAACGGAATAGTTCATTATTTATGAGGGATTGGCAGGGTGTGATGGTCGTGCTAACTAAGGTGGGGGACAAGCAGAATTATAATAAAATAATAATGATGAGAAAGAAAAATCACAACTTAAAAGGAAATGAAGGAAGAATATAATTTTGGTCTCTTTTAGAATTAGAAAATCAAGATAACATGACTGAAATGGCATAAGCAAAAGCAAAATACAGTCTTAAATTGATTTCAGTCAAAAATTAAAAAGAAAACATTTTTATATCCCAATTGAAAAAGTTTATTCTATTTTTGTGTAGGTGTGAATTAAAATCCAGTGACCCGCTGTTACTTGTTCATGCAATCTGTAACAAAATTTGACAAAAATCCCATACAGCAAAAAAAAGTTTTCAAGAACACCAAACATGACTGTTTATTTTTTATGAACCAATAGAAAAACTACAGGGGTGGAATTTTAATGCTTCCAATTTTCTAATGAAATGACGAATATAAATATCTATCCAAGAACAGAGGAAGAAGGTATGATTTGTACTTACCTGATCCGTGTGACCAAGATCCAATTCCTTCAAGCCTGTATTAATTTGTAAAACCTGAGCAAATGCCAGGGCTCCTTTTTTCCCAATTTTGTTGCCATTCATTATAAGAGTCTGAAGAGTTCGATTCCTCTGAGCAAAAATGTACACAGATAGATCAATAGACAGACAAACAGACATGTACTGATAGATAGATAGATAGATAGATAGATAGATAGATAGATAGATAGATAGATAGATATGTGCATACAGAGATAGATAAAATGATATATAGATAGACATATAGATAGATAAGAAATCACTTACTATACAGTGATAAGGCATCTGTTTATAAACCATCTGCTAATCTAAACTTAGTAAATATCAATTAACCCATTAGATATGTGACAGTTATACCAGTGTTCAAACCTAAGTAAAAATATAGAATTCCAAATGCTGATTTTCAAGGTAGGCATGCTTTTTAATTGAAAGATTCGTGCAACACCATCTTATTATATCCTTTTTGTCACATTTAATTTTATGCTGAGCAAATATCTGTCTTTATTTTCATGGTTCTGTCTATTACAATATATCTTTGTTATTCAGCTGAAGACTGGAAGCATGACACAATGACATATTATCATCAGAGATTTCATCTCTAATTTGGAGCCAAGGCAGTTTCTATTGAATTTTATATGTAGCCAGATTTTTTTCATTATAACTTTTGAATTCATACTGCCTGCATGTGTCTCTGATATCTAAGACTAATAGGGCCCTTACCACTACCCCAACAAGGATCGGTGTACCTGTGGAAAACCAAAGAACACATCACTTGAAATAAAGTAATAAAACCAATAAAAATTAAAATACTTGTGAATTTTGTTCCTAATTGGTCCTTCATTTCATCTGATAATCATATTTTAGCAAACAAGTGGTTGGATGAGGTTGGATTGCAAGACCCACCCTATAGCTTTACCTATATCTGTGGGGACCAGTTTTCAAATTTAGAGTTGTCTTTCTTCTAGGCTAGTTGCCAATTAAGGCTAGAGAGTCCTTTCTGTTCTGACATTTTATGTTTAAGTGGGCAGGGAGGGAAGAAATGGATTCATGCCTTTCTCAAAAGCATCATTACAAAATTAACAGAAACTGCCTCAGCCAGAATTTGAACTCAGTTTGCCAATTCCATTTTTTGTGTTGTGAGCCCTGGGCCAGTGCAAATGTATCTAAATAAAAAAAATTTATGTCAATTAATCAATAATTTTTGGAGCAATTTTTAACATCAACTTGAAACTTTTCTTGTTAAAAAGTTGAAAAATTTTAACATATTCAACATTATGAATAAAAAAAATAGTGAATTTTGTAGAGTATTTTTTTGAGACTTAGCAAAAGCAAAACAAATTCTCGGATTTGGAGAAAAAAAAACGAACCCAGAATGACATCAAAATTTACATAATTTTTTAATCTTCTAAAAGTCAGTTGGGCATAGTTTAATTTGTAATGTATATAAATGTATATATATATATATATATATATATATATATATATATATATATATATATATATATGTATATTAATTTGTAATGTATATATAAATGAATGTATATACATTGATGTATATTTTTGTAATTTATAATGTATATATATGTATATATACATATATATATATATATATATATATATATATATATATATATATATATATATAATTTATTAATTTGACGTCATTTGTATATAAAATGTATATATATATATTAATGTATATTAATTTGTAATGTATATAAATGTATATATATATATTAATGTATATTAATTTGTAATATGTATATATAAATGAATGTATATATATTGATGTATATTAATTTATAATGTATATAAATATATATATATATATATATATATATTAATGTATATTAATTTGTAATGTATATATATTAAATGTATATTAATTTGTAATGTATATAAATGTATATATATTAATGTATAAATTATATTATATATTAATGTAATGTATATAAATGTATATATATATATTAATGTATATTAATTTGTATAATGTATATAAAATGTATATATATATTAATGTATATTAATTTGTAATGTATATAAATGTATATATATATATTAATGTATATTAATTTGTAATGTATATAAATGTATATATATATATAATGTATATTAATTTGTAATGTATATAAATATATATATGTATATGGGGAAAAATGTATATACAGTGGGGGAAAATAAATATTCGTACACTTGAAAAATTGTATTTTTATAAATATAAAATCCTTAAATAAAACAAATCTCGGCACATTTTTTGTATAAAGACAAATACTATTAAAAAATAATAATAAACTTAATTAATTCTTATTCTAACAGAAATTAATGCATTTTTTTAATTCTAACTGGTGAAAAAAGTATTCGTACAAATCAATTATTAGAATAAAATAATCAATTAATTATGGAAAAAGTATATTCTAGAATGTTCCAGTTATGTTATCAGTAATTATAGTTAACGCTATCAGATCATTCTGCAATTTCTAGTCTTACGAGGTTTTAATAATGCCTAAAGGTAAAGAATTGACTATTTCACAAAACAACACATTTTGTCTCTTTGGAAAGATGGGAACAGTTACAGAACGATTTCTAACAACCTGAATATTCCTTTTACTACAATTGCTTCGTTCATTGCAAGGTTTAAAACTCATAACAGCGTCGAAAACCAAAGACGAACAGGTGCTCCGAGGAAGATTTCTCTAAGATCAGCAAGGATATTAGGACACCAAATCCAACAAAATCCACAGGTTACCCGAGAAGAACTGCAGGAACATCTGCATGCATTAGGGATTAAAGTAACCAAGCGTACAATAAATAATGAACTACACAAAAACAATCTGAAATCATACATCCCAAGGAAGACTCCACTCCTCTTGAAACGACACAGAGATGCTAGGCTAAAATTCGTTAGAGAGCATAAGGATAAAGAATATTCATTTTGGGAAAAAGTACTATGGACTGATGAAACTAAAATAGTGTTGTTTGGTCATAATTATCGAAATCATGTGTGGAAGGACGGTGAAGAAGCCTTTTACCAAAGAACATGTTGCCAACTGTAAAGTTTGGTGTTGGCAGTATCAGGATCTGGGGCTGTTTTTCTGTAAAAGGTGTTGGCAGAATATCAATAATAGATGGCAAGATGAATGCCGAAAGATACCAAAAATTCCTGCAAGACAATTTAATGCGTTCTGTTGAGAGACTTTTGGCTACCTCCTGATTGGGTTTTCCAACTGGATAATGATCCCAAGCATACCGCTAGATCTACAAGGAAATGGTTAGCTGAAAGTAACGTTGATGTCTTGCAATGGCAAAGTCAGTCCCCAGACTTGAACCCAATTGAGAATTTATGGCAATATTTGAAAATTCAAATTGGGAAAAGAGCACCAACAAATATCAAGAATTTGAAGACAATATGCCAAGAAGAATGGGACAAAAATACCACTCAATGTGTGCAAATCATTAATTGAGACATACAGGAATAGACTGGTAGCTGTTGAACTCAATAAAGGATATTCCACAAAGTATTAAATTAAGTTAATATACTTTTTTGTTTTGTACGAATACTTTTTCATCAGTTAAAATGAAAAAAATGCATTAATTTCTGTTAGAATAAGAATTAATTAAGTTTATTACTATTTTTTTTTAATAAAATGTATCTTTACACATAAAATGTATCAAAATTTGTTTTAGTTAAGGCTTTTAAATTTATAAAAATACAATTTTTCATGTGTACGAATATTTATTTCCCCCCACTGTATATATTAATGTATATTAATTTGTAATGTATATATATATATATATATATATATATATATATATATTAATTTGTAATGTTTATAAATATATATATATATTAATGTATATAATTTGTAATATATATATATATATATATATATATATATATATATATATATATGTAGATGAAGGAAAGAGAAAGACAGGGAACTGGGTGGCAGGCTAGTAATTCCCAAAGCAAGGATATCTGCCAGCTGCCCCATGCAGTCAGGTGTGGTACAAGGCTGAATTTTATGTGGGGTATCTGAGCCCATAGGCTTGGCCAAAAATTCCCCATATAAAATGGGGTCAGGTAGACAAGACTTGTTCAACATACCACTCCCAAGGCCGATGAGACTCTGCCCTTCAGCATAGCCTCATCTGGGTTCCTCTCTGCCTTTGGGCAGAGAGTTCAACCAGCACAGCTGGAGACAAATCTCCAACTAATTCCTGAAGCAAGTCCCCAGTTATATCCTGTGCTCACTATATATAGCTATTGATATAGTCAGTTCACATAGTCAATAGGGAGTGTGGGACATTCCATTACAACAGATTCACAGCACAAACATGTTGACATGACATGATGTTGTGGAGAACAATTTGGAGAGAGCAAAATATGAGTAAAGAACAGAAATGAAAAGAAACAGAAAAGAATATTCAGTTTTGAGTCACATCTGTGCCCCATCAAATAAATATCTCCTTTTAAATAATAGTGTACAATGTTGTTATTAGAAGCTGCTGGTAAGAATATAAAAAGAAAATAAGCATCAAAGAGAGAAAAGAAAGTGTTGTAAAATACAGCAAGGGGTTTTTGAGGTTGCAGGAAGCACTTAATCTATTGCTCTCCTCAAAACTATGAGGTAACAGGTAAAGAATAGAAAGAGACAGGAGGAAACAAAACAACACTACTTCAGAAGCCACAGCAAGGTGAGCAGCATTCAACTTGAGGAGCAAAACTGCCCAGGGAACTGACTTAACAGACACTGAGTCTTGCCAACTGCCCACTGCTGGTTTTCCTGCTGTTTTTATTGATAGGAGACAATTAGCAGAAACCCAGATCTATACAAATTAGAGGGAGGCCTGTCTCTGGACATGCCAAGATGTTTTACTGCTAACAGGGAAAACCTGGATGTAACTGGTTTCGACAGACATGTCTACACATGATTCAGGGCCTCATTTGCATGTGCTCACCACAGAAAGAGAACAATGAACAATAAATGTTGTCTCTCTTTTGATATCTACAATAGCCTGCTACAGAAAAAAAACAAAGTTGTCAGAGACCCACAAACATTTATAAAATGTGAACATAATAAAAATGCTTAATCAAGATTTTATGATACAAGCATTAATCCTGACAAGACAACTTTTAACAGTCTTATTTGATTTGAAAAAATTAGGATTCAGGTTAGAGTCATACCAAAAAAAAAAAAAAGCAATTTGGTGTGAAAGCAAAAATCTATTCCTACAAAATATACATCTGGGTTACTTTTGGAGTAGTAATTTTGTCACTGGTGTCAAGAGTCAAAAATAGAATTATTTTTATAGAATGAACAACTCTGGAAGATGCTGTTTGAGAAAATGGATGCTTGATGACCAGGTAAATAAAACCTTGTTTATTTAATCCAAGACTTGGGTCCCAAATATTTATATTTTCAGAATTTCATGGTAAAAATTTTTCAAAAAGAATTTATTTTTTTTTATCCTTAGACAATCATTAGATTTAACAATAATTTAATTAAATAAAAAAAAAGAACTAAATATAACAAGAACTCCAAAAAGTTTCCTAATTGTAATTTTCAGGGATTCATTCCCTGCATTATTTTAAGCCTACACCAAGTTTTAAACCTACCCCAAATGATTTAGCCAGGGCCTCTGCTCCTTCTTCTTCAATTTCATTGCACATTAAATTCATCTTCTGTAATGTGGTATTTTCCTGTAAAGATAAAATGAAACTTCTAAAAACATTGGTTGTGTTTTGGATTAATAAATTCATGGTAAAAAAAAAGAATATAATACATTTGACACTTAATTGGTTAATCAAGACATACCCACAAGTCTATTTTTAATGCTGACCTTATGTTCCCCTCCCACTTTAACTTTCAGAAAAGAGGTAACAGTTTGTTTTTAAAATTTTTTTTAAAATGCATTTAATCACCAATTACTTACCATCACCAGAAGAAATACAAAGTATTGAAACATGAAAGCCTTTGTGTAGCAATTTTAACATATTTTTATTATAATCTCTTATAATAAAATAATATATATATATATTGATTTTTGTTTATATATGTGTGTGTGTGTGTTTTGTGACATATGGTGGCCGTTAATAATTAAGTATAACTCAAGACTTCAATATTAAGATAAAACAGTATTTAATTACAACCACAAATAAATACTTAACAAGAACAAAGAAGTAAAAGTCAACCAAAGATAATTAACCATTTCAGTGAATACTTTGTTAGTAGCACGACTCGGCTTACCATTCAGTAAATCCTAAATCAAAACCCAAATCATTGACACACAATAATTCACACTAATTCAACTGAATAGTTTCACTCAATAGTCATTCAATAATCACTGCAGTCACTAGCCTGACACCACTATTTATACACCTAGTGGAAAACATATTCATAAGTCCAGAGTGTCATGCTCCAACCTCGGTGTCACTTTCTTCCTATATGACAGTGTGTGTGTGTGTGTGTGTGTTACTTCAAATGTTATTATAGTGCATATTCTGCATTTGATATAGACACTCCATTTCTACTTACTAAACAGTGATCATGACATCCATTGGCCTGTGCATTTGCATTAAAAAAATATAAGCAAAGAAAATGTGTTCCCCAGCAGGAATCAAACATATGACCCCCTTTGTAAGGGAAACCATCATTTGATCCAACATGCTTAGGAAGGTTTAATCCCTGCTGGGAAACATATTTTCTTTGCTAAAATGTCTTGAATGCAAATGCACAGGCCAAGTGAGACCTAATATACACTGTTTAATAAATAAAAATGAGGCATCTATTTCAAATACAGAAAATCCAATATGTTTGAAATAATAAAAAATATTGGATTAAAAATAAATCCATGTATGATATATATATATATATATATATATATATATATATATATATATATATATTTGAATGGATAGCGGCTTGGATTGAAGAAATTAGAGCCGAGTTTGAATCCATTACATTCACTAACGTGCTAATACCATTGGGAAAGGTGTGAATCCTCTTCTTCTCCCTCCAGCTATGGGTAGATAGCAGGACAGATTGGGTTCTATAGCCTTGGATGGCAACTGGTCTAGGAGAAGAACAACTCTGGATTCAAAACCTGCGGAGGGTCGTTTGGGGATCTTGTGGCACTTAGTGCACCAGGTCTCTGAATTCGGCCCTTTAAAAAGTGTGGCTGTCCTGCACAAAACCTTCACCACTATAATCAAATCTCTTGTGCTGTTGTCGGGCTGATCTGATCTTGACCCTCATATGTCGAATTTCGATGGAGAGTTGACAATATATATATATATATATATATATATATATATTGTTGGGGTAACCCTTCTACAGTAAAATGAACTCTTCCTCCTCTCCTAAATACTAACTGTGAGGCTTCCTAGGGCAGTCCGTTGGGAAGCGGAGATGCAGTGTTAAACTACCATTCGGACGTGCACTTTTACTAACACTCTTGCTTTGTATATATCTGTTATTTCAATACACTTGTTCAACCTACTTTCATCTTCCGTGTCATACTTTCTAGCCCCTAAACAGGCCACAACATATATATATATTATAAATATTACATTGGAACATGCAAGTTACCATGACAAAAATGCATATTTGTTTTGACGCCCAAAAACGTTTCACCAGGCAGCTAACAATGGTGGTATATTTATTGATCTACTCTTGTATTGAGCCCTGTTTTAAATGAATGTTATGAATGCTTGAATTTATATTATTTTCGTTCTTTTACATTTGTGTATATATATATATATATATATATATATATAAACAGTCTGTGGAGGTACAAAACTTTGGTAATCCTATAAAACCAGATATATTTGAAATTGTATATAACTATATCCATCAATAAATATGGAAAAAAATGGAGAGAACAAGAGCAAGGATAATGAAATAAATTGCTATGAAGAGACACATCAACAATAAACAAGAAAAAACTAAAAAAGGCTAACCAGTTTTTGATCCTGACTCTTCAATGCCAATTGAAAACAAACATATAAACTGTATGCACAACATTTAAAAAATCAATAAAGAACAGCCAGGAAATCAACAAAGGAACAAAAACAACAAACAAATAAAAAATATATAATCACACTCTGATTACATTAAGTCCCAGCAGCCACTCTTTCTGTTTACAGAGATAAGGTTGCCAAGATCTAATATACAATATCTGTAATATTCGCAAATGATAATCAGAGGGGTTTATTGATTTTTAAACATTGTGCACACAATTTACACAGTTTTATATGTTTGCAAAGTGTCCCTCACAAGAGACTTGCATCTCTCACTTATGTTTGTTTACAACCAGCTTTGCCATCTCCTCCAGAACAAAGATCTCAAATAAGAAGTGGTAAGTGTAGATATTACAACCCAAATGAAGAAATACTTGAAAAGCAAATGGAAACAAAGAGAAAAAGAATTTGGTTTTTACCTGTAAATAGGCAGCAATTGCTTGGGCTGATTTGTCTCCCAAGTTATTATAACTGAGATTTATCACAACAAAAATGGATGAGTTTTTCAGGACCATGAATAAAATGAGAACATCTTCATCAGTGAGACGTTGCTCAGTAAGGAGCTTATTGTTCCCAGCCAAATAAAGGCCAAATCCATTCACATCTTTTGGCTTCCTACAAGGAGAAAAATGAGAGTTAACAGTAATCGGGGATTCTTTGGTGAGTTTGAGAAACTTTAGATTATTGGGAAAATTTATTTATTTAAATATAAAAGCTGAAAGTGACTGGTAAACAATCAATAATTACCAAGCAAAAAAGTGTTATTAATTTTGATAGTAATTCAATGTTTATTTACATCATCTTCAGAACATCATGAGTGGAAGTGAAGCTTATTTAAAGAAGTGTAGCACAATATGATCACATGAAAATATTGGACACATGAAAATTTTTAAGTTTTTTTTAAGAAAAACAATATTTAATGTGGTAAAATCATAAAAATTGAACAGAAAATTGTTATTATTTAGATTATTCTCTATTTAAGCAAAAATAGAGATTTTTTTCTCTATACACAAATTTATTGGGAAATTTAACAGTGTAAGGTACAAAGCAGAAGTTTTGGACACATCAATAAACTGCATTTGACATTTAATATTATATCCCTTGGTACATTCTACCCACAAACTCCACAATTGGGGTGGGGTGTTGTGGTGCGTTGCCAAGCCATATAATGGGACCCTGGGCAGTGCTTTGTGACTCTTGCTATCTTATTGCTTTTTTCTACTTACATTTATATGTTTCAAATTAAACTAAGCACAACTGACTTTAGTTTTTTAATGAAAAATTTTCAGTTTTTTGGGGGGGGGCCAAATCCATGAATTTGTTTTTCTCATGCTAAGTCTCAAAAAAGCACAATATAAAATTCACGATTTTTTATCTATAATGTTAAATGTGTTAAATTATTCAACTTTTCTAAAAATTGCCGCAAAACATTGTTGATTTATTTAATATGGAATGATCGCATTCCAGTCGAGTTTATTACATTCACTTACACACAAATATTCTTGAGTAAAGTATGAATCCATCTCTTCTCCCTCCAGCTATGGGTTAAATAGCAGGACAGACTGGTTCCTATGGTCTTGGTTGGTAACTAGTCTATCAAAGAAAGAAATGGCAACCTACTGCGGGAAAATCTTCTGCCTTGTCAGTCATGAATCAAAAGAGACATGATTGCCCAAGCATGTATCACGTACAGCATTTAACTGACTAATTGATCTATTATGACATGTCTCTAATTTGTATTTAGATACATTGTATTTATTTTCAATTTTTCTAGTTGAATTGTTCACCTATATTGCATATGATCCATTATTGTACATAATAAGGTTACAATAAGATTTGTATTTTATATGGTGATTTTCCAAGTGTAACTTAGACGTGGCACAAGGGTAGAAGTATGGGACACCCAGTGAGGATCAAACTCAGTAATCAGTTGTAATTGTTCTAATGAGACAAGTTTGTTAACCATTACAGCACATCAAGTTACCCATTTTGTCTTTTATGTGAATTGAGATGTCATTGACTGGAGGCCCTGTATCATAGATTTGGAGGTGGGCATATCATAGATTTGGGAGGACCATCAAGACTCTTACACTGGCCCTAATGATGGCAGTCAGACATTTAAAACAATTTGAAATATTTCCTGTTTAAATTTCTGGAATGAGAAATTATCATTATTTACATTTGGACTATTATCCTCACCTTTATTGTTTTTATCATAATGATTTGGCCATTGTGCCTTTCAACCTTCACCAGATGTATATCAATCTGGATAACCTATAGCAAATTCTGAACTGAAGCCTTTATTTAATCTACAGGTATAGACTGTTCCCATTCCATCGCTTATGTCTAGGGATATCTCATTTAGTTCTTATTTTCAGTACTGCTCAGTTATTGCTAAGTACACACTGCTTGAGTCAGAAATTCAACTCACCGGAGTTCACTTACATCATAGCAGTAGAAATTAGCCTCATGTTTATGGAGATAAAAGGATACTTGACAGGAAATAAAACATACAGAAATAACAGGAAAAGCATGGTTAATTGTATGTTAATTTTATACAATTTATTTATATTTTTTCTGTGTATTGGTGTGTGCATTTTTTAGGTTTCAATTGTTTTATGATATATGTGATGAAAGGGAGAAGTTACTCTGTAGTATTACATACCATATCACAGAGAGAAGTCAGACACCAGTTGCCCATACTAAGGTTCATGTTGAAGAGCTTGAATTTAATGTCTTTTGGCAGGGTGTCCGTATTTCCAACAGGATTGGTTATTGTTGCATGCTGGGAGTATTTTTATTATTTTTAATTTTTATTTAATTTATTTTATACAACGTTTTTATGTTATTGTTTTATTTTATTTATAATTTTCATTATTATTATTATTTTATATTTTATTTTTATTTATTTAGAATAATAATAATAATAATACTACAAACTAACAATTAATTTGTCACCAAATTCATGAATCAAAGCTTTAATCCATAAGATTATTGTCCTATGAGATGATAGTGGATTAAGCATTGTAATATATATGATAGTGGATTAAGCATTGTAATATATGTGATGATAGTGGATTAAGCATTGTAATATGCGAGATGATAGTGGATTAAGCATTGTAATATATGTGATGATAGTGAATTAAGCATTGTAATATATAAGATGATAGTGGATTAAGCATTGTAATATGAGACAATAGCTTAATAAGTAAATTAGAGTGTTGATTTATAAGAATTTAATTTGAGAAACAGTAGTACAATGTTTTACAAGTTCACGTTCTAGCCTCTTTTCTAATCCTTATCCTAACTTTTCCCCCTGCTTTTCAATCTGGCTCCCAAAGCCTTGATCCTTATTAGAGATAAGAATATATTTTCTGACGAACGAGAGAGCTGGAAAATATCAAAATGAATCTGACCATCCTTGCCCTGACCATGGTGCCATAAAGTCTGAGGGTAACACCACAACTTGTTAGACCCTTACTTTCAAAAAGCAGCTCCCAAAAATATACCAGAGATAAGAATATATTTTCTGACAAATGAGAGGGCCAGGAAAGTGTATAACAATTTTGGAGGGAAAAGTTCCTGATATTTCTGAGTCTTCTAATCTCCATAAATACAGAGAATATGCTGCACCTCTTTGGCAGTGAGTACTTGACACCATCTGTGATAACATCAGATCAATGACATTAACACCAGTCATATTCAAAACCTGCTTCAAGAAAGAGATCTACCTGCTGGGCTGTAAAGACAGAACTTCAGCCCACTACTAAAAACTTAATTGAGATCTACTTCCTTGCATATAGAAATTCCTGTCATTGGCCTACAAACTCACTCAACTACAAAATTTGAATCTTCCGACAGTTTCCTCCTCAACAAGAGCTGTGAAGAAATCTATGTGAGTGTTAACCCCTTAAGAACAATTTACTCGCTTAAAGAACTTTTAGGCACTCAGAGAAATATTTTGAGCAAGCCTTTATATGAACACTTTTTCTTCTTTTAAGTTAAAGGAATTTTCTCCCTTTCTTTCTCTCATATTTTGTGTATATCCCTTTACATTTCTTTTTCATGTATGTAAAGAGACATTTTCTTCTTCTATTATTACACCTCGAGCAGTAGTTTGAGTCTTTATTCTTCCGCCTAAAAGAGAGAATTGTCCTCTCTAATCTTTCAAGCTGTTGTTGCTTTTATCAATTCTATCACCTTTAAGCTTAACCCTTTCATGTAGGAAAGCTGGGACAAATTTCCCACAGATTTGCAAATTAATCCATTAGGGTCTTTGTGAATTCCTGCTGTTTCTCTCTGCTTTTGTGGATTCTTAATATCCTTGGAGATAGACAATTACTTTACATCCACCACAAAGCATTCCCATAATTCACCTTACTTCTATGCGAAAGATTATAAACTTGAATGAAAATATAAAACATTGTCCAATTAGCTGATTAATCGCAAACACCATACATTATTACCATCTTCTTCATGACAAATGCTGTCACATGAAACATCGTTTTGATATTATTTGTCATATATTTGAAGAAAAAACAACTCACCATCGTATTTTTTTGCTAAGCATGCAGAGAACATAGGCAGGAGGTGATTGAGCATATTCACTTTCATAAAATTCACTATATTGCTCCATCAACTCAGACATTTCTTTCAATCTGTGAAAAAATACAAGACAGAAAACAAAAGAAGATTAACAGCAATTTTAGGGGATTTTTAATTTTCAGCCGAGTTGTTATAAGATTCTGATGTATCATAAGTAAGAATGCTGTCCAATCATAATTGCTACAGTTAATGTATGAAATATGTAGGCAAGTACAGAAGCTATTATGGAGCAGACATTGTACTCTTTTGTTCTTTTTTCTATACAAATAAAATTTCATATAATTTTATTATGTATTTTTAAAGTTTCCCAAGCAAAACTATAATTTAATACTTTTTATTTTGTAATTATGCTTGTGTTGTTAGATTGAAATTGTTTGTTAATATCAAGGAGAATTTATTAGAAGAGTGTTATGGGAGCTTACCCATAATAACATGATGGACTATTCCATATGTAATAAATACTGCCCTCAAGAGGAAGCAGAGAGTTCAGTCTGAAGTCTGGAGTGAAGTCTGTCAGTCAGTCAGTCAGAGCAAGCGAGTCAGTCAGTCGAGTCAGAGGCAGACCGAACCAGACAATTACTACTAAACCTGATTGTTCGTACTAACACTTTCTACTTCTCTGTATATATTCCTGTTTGTAATATATCGGTGTTATTCCATATCCATGTTCGAGTTCTTCTTTATTGGTTCTACCTTGGACTATCACCGTGGTACAAGGAACCGGACCATAACAAAGAGATATTATTAAAAAATAATAATAAAAAAATTATAATTTTTCTTTTCTTCTCATGACATTATTGTGACACACACTGGTGGTCGCGGTCACAGCCCCAGCACCAATATGTGATGTCCACTGATCGCAACATCAATATATGTTGCAGCGCAAAGCTGTAAGGTTTCTTCCACCAGTGTTTGGGATTGACTTGTTGTCGCTGCCACCAGCCTGTGTCCCAGTCGATCTGGTCATTCGCGGTTCAATACCAACTTGTCATTCCCAGCTCACTTTCAACATCTGGTTACCGAAGTAACTACTTTGATCTCAAGTCTAACCTACCCACATTGTGATTTTGATCTTAGGTAGACAAAATCAATCAGGCGTCGGGCCGTAGTGCAAGCTGAATCCGGGGTAAAGATAATACCGCACAAGTGTAAGTAAAAGAAATAATAAAACAAACTCACAAGGTTCAAATATGTTGAGAAATAACAATTATCTTTATCTATCTGTTGAATACAAGAGTGTGTTCCTCTCCCGACCAGTTTCTATGGATTTCTGACACTTTTTGCGCTTCTTAAGCGAGTTATGGTATCTTAAGTCATTCGTCAATAAAAACTTGCTTTTGGTAAGGAAAGTCAAAAAGGTTGTGGAAATCTTTCGGTCAGCTTCTGCAAGGCAACACTCTTGAACTAACTCCAAACTCAAACTGTCTGGAACTCTGAACTCCCTGAAACTGCCTAGCTGCTTCGAGACATTCGTTTATATGAACACCGACCCAAACTCAGTGTGGGGGCCTGACATGGTTTGGGTTCTTTGACAATTCTCAATTCCCAACGAGAATCCTCTTTGTTCTTAGGCCAGGAAAATTAATTACTTCCCATTTTTGGAAGATTAATCACTTTCCATTTTGGGGTTTTCTCCTTCGTCTGTGAGGGAAGGTCGGAGGAGAGTTATCCTCCTAGACTCTTCCTCTCTCAAATTGGTATCTCATAACAATCCCCTCAGTGGGTGTTAACAACTTCTCCATCTTTCTCATACATTCATCTCTGCCTATCACCTATGCTACCAGTTGGCCAATGATCTCTCGGCAGTGTGGGTGTGACTAGACTGGCCCTCTTAGAATTATCATCGAGAATTTTGTTTACAAAATCCATTTTTTTTCTTTTTCCAAAACATTTACAAATCCCAGATTGCCAAATAATTCTTATCACATCTTGATTTTAGGGACACTCAGATCCACTTAGTCAACTTTTAACTGGGCGGTCGTGTTTACCTGATAATTAAATTCTTTATTTTTCTTATGACTTAAAATTCTCTTATCCCCAAATGCTCATTTTCAAGACACTATGTCTGACGTCAACAGTTTGAATAAGCAATAATAATGATCCCCTTTTCGACTCTCTTTTTCATGTCAGGATTCGTGCATATACCAGATGGCTTCCCTCACTGGAATCAGGAATTATAATTAAATATCTCTGAAATAGCTATTCTCCAGGGTGGTCCCAAGCCAAATTTTCTCCATGGCCGCATGCATCAGCCGGCTTTCTCATTATTTACTTTTATTTCATTGTTTTTCTATCTGAATTCTGTTTATATTGGCACATCACTCTCTTATCGTGACATCAGTTAATCTTGACAGAATCACAGTCTCGCTTTTCCTTACGGATTTTCTGTCCCCTGCAAAAAGTATCTTAATTTTGTAAACAAAATAAATTCTTCTTTTTAATGTCGCTCAGTCTATCTTTTGATATAGCTCTTTCTTGCCTTAAGTATTTCCCACTTTTAATTTCTATGGTTAATTAGTTAGCCAATTACCATAGCTAAATAGTGTCACATTATTATCCATCTCCAGTATTGCCTTTCTAAGTCCTGTATTTAAACAAAGAGAAAGATTGTAATTCTTTAAAAATTCTACTGGATACCACATTTCAGTGATTGTTTTTGTTTAATGTTCAATGTGGTCAAATTAAAGACTTTTGTTCGATTACCACCTCCTGACAATAATCACAGGCAGCACAATATTTGAAAGGTTCTTCTGCTTTCCCTTTGGCTTTTGGAGCAGCAACAGTATTTCCTTTCATTCCATTAGACACAAGGCATATAAGTACTTCATGGACAAAGATTGAAGATTGTATTGAACTGTTCATAACTTCAATGTTGTTTCTTTCTTTATTCTTCATGTACATGTCTTGTTAATACATTTGTTAATTGCTGTTTGTTTGTATTCCATGTTTTGTGCACTTTTTTTATTTGGACTCACATGAGTCTGCAAAATATTCTTTGTGGAACAACTGTACTAGGAGGCATGAAACGATAATACTTTCTGTTATATTCTTTGCTAATAGGAATATATACTTGACAAACACAGTGGATAAATAAGTAAAGGTTTATTGTAATAACCAGTACAATAAGAAATAAGGTACAGTTATGTGCATGATCATCACAAGTCAATCCAGTAGTGAGTGCTGCTATTGGAAGGTCGGTAGTTCTTGCGTAAGTCTAACTTGTACTCAACAGACCCCAGCAATTCTTCCATAGTCCGTTGCCTTACGGATACTTATAAGTAGTTACTACCTATAGTGTAGTCACTCATAGGGGTGACAGGTTATTCCATTACATCACTTTCTATTTCTGTAATACTTTTAATTTTATATCAGTTTCTAAAATGTCTCATTTTAATTTGAAAGAAGAACATGAAATTATCAAATATATTTTATTAAAAATTATTGTTCGAGTCTCTTTAGGCAACCAAAAAACAAGTGCCAAAAGTTTTGAAATTGGCTATAAATTTTAGCATTGGTAACAGAAATATTTTCTTCATATTCCATGAAATAAAAGTAAATAATGAGAAAGTTATGATCATAAATATGACATAAAATAATGAAATAAAACATATGAATAATATTAAAATTCTCTTTGAGTCTCATTATTCATCATTTTTTTCCTAAAGTATCTCTTTCTACTTTGCTGAAAGAAATGGTAATAGTGAAATGAACGGTTTTCATACAGGAAACACCTGGCAGTCATTGAACAAAGACATAACATTACACTCAGTTGAAATTTATAAACTCTTTTTTTATTTAAACAGTTTTTCAGGAGATAAGACTTCTCAAGTCCACTGTTATTGCTCTTTCTAGCATTGATAGAAGTTTCTTAACTAACCTTTTGTTTAAGATATGGTGAAAAGTTTATATCTTGATTATATTGTTATTTTCCCTTCTAGTTACACACCTTTGCACATTTTCAAGTCTTTGATTGATATGTTTTTTATTATTTAGCTTATGATTCTATGGTGTCAGTCTATATGGTCTAATGAAGGAATGATGTTTTTAAGACCTAAGGAATTCAGACACTTTTGAACAAGTTAGCATCTATGCTGATGACACGACTATTCATTCCTGACTTAATAGTAAGTCTAAATCAGTTCAATAAGGTCAAATTAGTGGCTGATCTCAAAAATGACCTACAATCTGTTGTTAACTGGGGCAAAGAATGGCTTCTTAATACCTCCAGAATGAAACTACTCTCTTTTAATCATCTGAGAGAACCCTTTTTAGCTTCCATCAATATGGCTGATGCTTACCTCCAGGAGAGTGATTCATTGCGCCTTCTCAGACTAGCGTTTTCCACTGACATGAAGTGGAAAGATTATATTGAATCAATTGCTAGGTTTGCTGCTAAGATAGTTGGTTCATTGTGGTGTGCTAGACAATTTTTCTCACCAGAATCTATCTTACACATTTATAAGTCTATAATTTGTCCATATTTTGAATATTGCTGCCATATCAGGTCTGGTGCCCCTGCTATATATTTAAGAGATTCTAAATAAAATCCAAAGAAGAATATGCAATGTTCTCGTTGGGGACGTGCAGAGTTTGTTAATTTTGTTAGAAAGAATCAGAAGGAATTTTGAGTTGGTTGCGTGCCTTTCTGCATCCCAAACAAATAAATAAACGAAATTCAAAATGCAATTGAAAAACGAGACATATTCAATTTAGAAATCAATACAACATTTATATACAATTCAAACAATATACAGATAGGATAATTGATGTATGTTATGTAGACGAAATGTGTATGAGTTTTTTAGATTTCTGAATGTCTCTCTTTGCAATTGTTCATTGATTTGCAGTCTTTTTGTTTGTGTCGATATTTGCAATTGTTAATAATAAGTGTCTTTTAGAAAGAGTTTTTTTAGAGTGATCTACCTTTAACTGTAGTTGGTGTTTTTGTAATGTCGTTCGTTCGTTAGTGTTTACTTAATAAGTAGTGAATTTAATTCACTTTACATAAGCAAAGTTGAGAAATGATGTACACAGAGTTGATTAATGCTTGATC